TCCTCCTGTGTCTGAAATGGTGGAGTCCCTCGCCACGTGGGCACACCATGTCAAGGACATTCTGAAGCAGGTGTGTGCCAGCATAGCTCACGCGGGCCTTGGACGCCACTCACGCTGCAGTGCTTGTAGGGTTACAGAGTGTGAGCGACACTCCTCACCTGCACATGCAAACTATTCACCAGAAATGGCATTGGATTGAAAGATTTTTATATAGAAAATACATTTTATATCACACATCATACCAAAATATCTTACACATAAAACATGTCTTTTTGTATGTTATATAATATGTAAATATCTTGCATGTATTTACATATACCATCTATTTTTACATGTGTATGTATATATATATAGGAACCCTCTAGGTTTAGTACTTTTTCCAGTGAAGTGTTCTTGAGATTGAAACTTGTCTTTAAATAACAGTAAGGAGCTAGGCCCTGATAGATAACAATCATTTGTTGCAATCTTCTGTATTAGGTTTTCTTCTTCGAGATCCTCATTTGACAAAAGTTTTTAAAATTCTCTTTTCTCAGGTAGGATGTTAAAAAGCAGATAGCTTATGGTTGTATGCTAAATAGAACTTACGTGGTGTTTTCTTCTGGTTAATTTCTTATTTTATACTTTTTGATGTGAAAAATTCACATGAAAAAGCTTAAAAACATGTTCTATCAGACTACTGCTAGAAAGAGGTATTACTAACTTGGTTTTCATTGCTGGATGATTTGATGGCCAGTCTACAAATTCAAGAATGCTAGTGTAAAATAACAGCAAATTATTGGAAATAAGGTTTAAGCTTACTACTAGCAAAACAGTAATTTAAAAAAAAAATTAGTATGCATTAGAATCTTAAGAACATTCTGTTATGTTCCTCTGACTGGTAGCCAAATAACAAGGCAGATTTTATAAAGAAGGAATAGGTCTATAGTTTGCAGTAACTAGTAATCTAGTTAAGGATATAAACCAAACTGAAGAATACAAAATGACAAAAAGCTGATGACAGAGGTATAAGGTATAAGGTTATTCTCAAACAGTAAGCAGGAATGAATGAGGGGAATAGTCTGCCAAGAGGATACAATATTTTGTTAACAATATTCCAGTTATGGAATACATAATTTTCTTCTCCCTATCCCTTAACTGTGTGTTTCTGACCAATTGTTTTAACTAGTTTTAACTTGCATTCTTTCAGTGATTGTTACATGTATTTATTACTTTTCCACATCTGTTATAGGGTCGCTGTGTTTGGATTAATCCTGTTCAAAAATCAGAGGAAAATGAAGAAGATGATGAAGAGGAGGAAGAGGAGGAGGAAGAAGAGCAACAGGAAGAAACGGGACAGCCCCTTCTTACTCTAATCTCTGAAGATGAAGGTATTCTTCATGGAATATGAAGTTTTTGATAGAGAGTCTCTAGGAATGTCTAGGTTTAGTACTTTTTCCAGTGAAGTGTTCTTGAGATTGAAACTTGTCTTTAAATAACAGTAAGGAGCTAGGCCCTGATAGATAACAATCATTTGTTGCAATCTTCTGTATTAGGTTTTCTTCTTCGAGATCCTCATTTGACAAAAGTTTTTAAAATTCTCTTTTCTCAGGTAGGATGTTAAAAAGCAGATAGCTTATGGTTGTATGCTAAATAGAACTTACGTGGTGTTTTCTTCTGGTTAATTTCTTATTTTATACTTTTTGATGTGAAAAATTCACATGAAAAAGCTTAAAAACATGTTCTATCGGACTACTGCAAGAAAGAGGTATTACTAACTTGGTTTTCATTGCTGGATGATTTGATGGCCAGTCTACAAATTCAAGAATGCTAGTGTAAAATAACAGCAAATTATTGGAAATAAGGTTTAAGCTTACTACTAGCAAAACAGTAATTTAAAAAAAAAATTAGTATGCATTAGAATCTTAAGAACATTCTGTTATGTTCCTCTGACTGGTAGCCAAATAACAAGGCAGATTTTATAAAGAAGGAATAGGTCTATAGTTTGCAGTAACTAGTAATCTAGTTAAGGATATAAACCAAACTGGCCAGGAACTGAAGAATACAAAACGACAAAAAGCTGATGACAGAGGTATAAGGTTATTCTCAAACAGTAAGCAGGAATGAATGAGGGGAGGAATGAGGGGAATAGTCTGCCAAGAGGATACAATATTTTGTTAACAATATTCCAGTTATGGAATACATAATTTTCTTCTCCCTATCCCTTAACTGTGTGTTTCTGACCAATTGTTTTAACTAGTTTTAACTTGCATTCTTTCAGTGATTGTTACATGTATTTATTACTTTTCCACATCTGTTATAGGGTCGCTGTGTTTGGATTAATCCTGTTCAAAAATCAGAGGAAAATGAAGAAGATGATGAAGAGGAGGAAGAGGAGGAGGAAGAAGAGCAACAGGAAGAAACGGGACAGCCCCTTCTTACTCTAATCTCTGAAGATGAAGGTATTCTTCATGGAATATGAAGTTTTTGATAGAGAGTCTCTAGGAATGTTGTCATTTAGCAGTAAATATTTGAAGTTATAAAACTCTGACACTTCTTGGTGCAAAATACTTTGCCTCTGTAGGGTAAACACGTTCTTTTACAAAATCAGTCAAAAGCAAAATGCTTAATGGTATTGACATTAAAACTTAAATAATCAGGTTACTAGGTAACATCTTGTTGAGATTAAAAGGAAAAAATAATTTAGATTTGTCATGTTATTTCAAGTTCAGAACAGCTTACTACATGAAATATATTCAGCTATTTTTATCTCATCTTTTTAGGAGAAAAGAAAAATGTATGTTTATGTGTAAGTAAATAGAACAATTAATATGTACACACATGCACTGATAGACATTACTTGTATAAGAATTTAATCTTTTAGCATATCACTGCAGCAAATCATGGGATAAGGGAGCCTGAATATTAGATTACATCAATATTTGATTATTTTTCTACTCTCCATTCTGTAATCAAGGTGAAATATAGCTATACAATTTATCCATAAGTGATAAAAAGTCCTTGACAAAAGACCCAGGGGTGAGTGTTACTGAATTTTTTCTGTATGTGGGGGGTATATCAGCATTCCTGTCCTATCTACCCATATATGCAAACAACCTGCTGGAACACAGTGCCTACACTTACTGTTTCTGACTTCTGGCTCTTTCTGTCGTGCAACTTAACATAAGCCTTGCTTGAATTCTGTGCAAGTCTTGTAGCTCAGTCTTAAGTATTTTGTAGAGGCTCGTCAAGTCTGTTTATTCATAGACAGTGTGTGTTTGGCTGTCTCCAGGCATGAAAAACATCCCTGCTTGGACAGTTCGGGCTTCTACAAACCTGATCCCGGAATATTCTGTTGCAATCCTGCAGTCCAACCGGTGGCCTGGAGCTTATGCCTTTGCATCTGGCAGGTGAGAGTCCACCTGACATGGTTACAACACTGACTGTATGTGCTACACACAGGTGCCTCTCTAATGCAGGCAGAGTTACTTTATTATTAATTCATTGACTGAGTGCCAGCTATTCCAGAGACTGATGGAGAAGGCCACTTAAATATGCACAGCAACAGTAGATAGGCATTTAAGACTGAAAACAAATAATCATTTGGAAAGGCAGGCATAAAGTTAATGGATGTAAATGCTGAATTAGCATTTGAGCACAGTCCTTGATTTAAAACACATACTCTTGTGTTTGTGGGACTTTTTACAAAACCAGTATATTCTGTGGTTGTAATGTTCGTTTGTTTCCACTACACGTGGTTATTACCTCCATGTAGATTTCCACTACACAGTACTACACACTACTGCAGTGCAGTGCCACTTCATCATTTTAGCTAGAAGATGTATTAATAACCATTAGGGCAGTTAGAAAGAGGTGCTGTGTCTAAAATTCTGCTGCTATAGGATATCTGCCCCACAGTGACTTCCTGCGCAGCAAGTAAGGATGCCTGATGGTCTCTCTGCTAATATTTTGTCAGGGGGTGAATGTGTAATCTTTAACTTCTCTTTTTCAGGAAATTTGAGAACATCTACTTTGGCTGGGGTCACAAATACAATGCAGAAAACCACGTTCCTGCACTGCCCCCGCCAGCAGAAGTGGAATTTCCCATAGAGCCGGGAATCACTGAGACAGTAGACCCCACTGTGCAAGAGGAACTGGCTTTCAAGGCTGCACAGGAAGAAGCCTTAGCTGAAGCTGAGGAAGAGGAAGAAGAGGAAGGGGAGGATGATTAAAATATGGAAGAAAACAGATTGCTTTAACAGTTTGAACATAAAAAGCATTTTGATATCCTTGTCATTTTTTTCCTGACCTCAAAAGAAATTATTTTTGAGCGTGCCTTCTTTTTTGATTTCTGTAGGCTTTTCTTTGCAGCTGTCTTCCTCTCCTTCCCCATCCCTCAAACCTGTCCACACTAGCTTGAAGGCTTTTTCTGTTTGTTTGACTAGGCAAACACAGTTTGCTTTCTAAAATGTTGCTGCTTTGAACTAAGAACTACCACCCACAAGATGTTCACACTGTTTTTCTAGCCCTCACTCAATACATATATACATTTTACTTAAATAAACTTGTTTTTAAATCCCATGACAGTGTCACTGCTGTGTGTAAAAGCGTACTATTCAGAGTCAGCGGGCAGCTGGCGGAGGTGCTGGGGCTGGTGCACGGCAGTGCTGCCGCTCACCGCTGCCTCGGGCGCTGCACCTCCGATCCTGCGCTCAGCTCTGGGCCCTCGCTGCAAGGGCCGATGGAGGTGCTCAAGCGCATCCAGAGAAGGGCAGCGGAGCTGGGGAAGGGTCTGAGCACGAGTCCCGTGAGGAGCGGCTGAGGGAGCTGGGAATCTTGAGCCTGGAGGAAAGGAGGTTTGGGGAGACCTTGTCCCTGTACAGAAGTGCCCGACGGCGGGCTGTAGCCCGGTGGGGGTTGGCCTCTTCCCCCAGTTACAAGAGACAAGGGAAAACAGCCTCATGTTGCGCCAGGGGAGCTTCCCACGGCGTATCAGGAAAACATCCTTCATGGAAAGGGTTCCCAGCCCTGGAACGACTGCCCAAGGAAGCGGCGCAGTCGCCACGCCGGGGGTGTTTAAAACACCCCCACACGCGGCCGTGACGACAGCGTTCCATTGCCCGGCCGCTGCCATCTGGGCGCTGCCGGCAGACGCGGGGGGGAAAGGTGCGGCCGCCCCCCCACCAGCTCATGCGAGTGGTGCGCTCCACGCACGGCGTGCGTCCTCGCGGGCCAATAGGGAGCGGCTGCGGGCGCAGTTCAAACTTCGGCGGCGGTTGGGGCGGGCGCTGCCGGTGCTCCCGGCCCCGTCCCTTGTCCGCTCCCGGTCCCGCTCCTCCTGGCCCGGTCCCGCTCCTCCTGTCCCGGGCGGGCATGGCTGACGAGGGCGCCGTCACGGTGTGCGTGCGAGTGCGGCCGATCATCGCCAGGTGAGCCGCCGGGCTGGCGGGAGGCTCCCCCCGCTCCCCTGGGTGCCGCCGTGCCCGCCGCTGGGGCAGGGGGCGGGCGGAGGGAGCCGGGGTGAGGGGGGTCGCGGTAAGGGCCCGTTTTGGGAGCAGAGTCCTCCCCCAGTAAAGCTAACACGGTGTCTCTTGTAGAGAAAATGCCTCGGGAGATAAAGTGCCCCTGTACTGGAGAAGTGAGAATAATACTGTTTCCGACGTGAGCGGTACCAAAATATTTAGTTACGGTAAGAATGTGAAAGCAATTGCTTTACTTAGATGATTACGCGGAACTTTGCTAGCGTAGTCTTGAACGTGTCGACTGTGGTGAATGCCCTGAGCTTCTTGAAGTGTCCCCCAACCTTCCCAGCTTCCTAATTCCGAAGGGGTGTCATTGGGGCACGCAGGACTTCTGGTGCAGGCAGCACTGGGATGTGCTTCCTGATGGACCTTACTTTCTCTGTTCTGATTCATGCCGTAGTGGCTTTTTTTGATCTGAAATCCAAAGGAGGGCTAGTCCAGAGCATTTGGGGAGAAGGGTGTGGGAGAACACAGTCCCAAAAGTGACTAGTGTGAATGTTGGATCCTCATAACTAACTGGCTCCTTTTGAGTCTTTTCCAACTGATGGACTTGTTAATATGAATGTAGCCACTACAAATAGTTTTCCCAAAATACAGATTCAGTAAAAGCATGCACCAGTCTAGGAGTTTAACAATTAACCTGTCTTGTTAGGCTTACCTTCCTTGTGGATAAATTAGCCAAAATCTTTTAGCATTAAATGGGATGACTGTTTAACTCTGTTCTTAGTGGGTTTTTTTACGTGTCTATCATCTGTGCATTGTGTCTTTCTTGATTTTGTGTTTAATATTTATTTTCAAACTAAATTTTAAAAGCTTACATTAGTGGTGCTACAATAATATTTCTATTGGAATTAACCTGCAAATGATTGCACAAATTTACTGGGTTTGAAGTCAGCAACACTGAATGACAGCTTGTTTTGACTTGCAATAGAGTGGATTCACATGCTTTTTTTTGTTTGTTTTTGTTTTAAGATCGTGTGTTTCACTCAAGTGACAACACTCAGCAGTTGTATGATGGTGTAGCTGTTCCAATTATACAGTCAGCTGTGCGAGGCTATAATGGTAAGCTTTAAAACTGTGTTTAAGTAACTTTTGGAATTTATTTCAGAGATAGTTGGTAAAACTTAACCTTATTTCTAGGCACGATTTTTGCTTACGGACAGACTGCTTCAGGGAAGACTTACACAATGATGGGGAATGAAGATTCCGTGGGCATTATCCCTCAGGCAATTCAGCATGTGTTCAAAATTATTTGTGAGGTGAGCAATTCTATTAAATTGAAGTGATTGAAAAGACTACTATTATTTGTGATGGTTTCATAAAAATTAATTTTAGTATCAAGAGGCTTATGAAGGAAATTAACTTACATTGGACTAAATGCTGCAGTTACTTTGCCAGCCTGGCAAAGATGAGCCAGGCTCATGTTTTGTTTTTAAACAAACAGTTAATGGGACTCTATTAGTTAAAATCAAATCAGAACAAAACTGAGGAGGGTTCTGAGACATGAGGAGTCAAAGAATTAAGTTTGAGTAGAACCTTAACCTTCCAAATATGTTAAACTGATTACAAATGAAAACAGGTACTCGCTTGTTAATGTGGTAGATAAGATAATGTGAAGCCTTATGTTTATTCTACTATTTTAAAAAAGTCTAAAAAATTAACAGTTAGAGACTTTTTTTTTAGTTGGGAAGAATATGATACTATATTTACTTATTTCAGGCTCACAAAAGAATTGCTAATTGCTCAATATTAATAAAAGTAAGGAGAAAGTGTACAATAAAACAGTGATTTCCAAAACATGATTTGCAGAGTGCTTGGTTACCAGTGAAATGAAATGGTCACTGCTCCTTTAAGGAGGTGTAGAGTACCCTTAGAGGGTTTATAGAAGTAACTAAAGGAAAGAAATTTTTTCTGGAGTCCATTGTGCAGCCTTTCTTCACCCCAACATTGTCTACCAAGGAGGCAGGGGAAGAAGCAGCAGCAGCAAAGTAAATCCAAGCAAACAGAGGGAGGACAAGGCATACAGAGAGAAAAGCACCTAAGCAGGAGGAAATTGGAAATGGAAATGGCATTTAAGTAGGAGAATTGTTGTCATGCTACTGTTATGCAGTTATCTTAATTTATAACCTCTTAGAAGTGGTATACCATTAATGCAGCTGGAAAGAGGTGGGATAGAAGAAAAATTATTCTGTATTGTTAGATGCTAATGCACAGCAGGGATGAAGGGAAAGAAATCTGTGGAACGATATCCAAACCTTTATCTCCAATTTAAGAATATTTGTGTTAAAAGATGTCCATCAGTTATTCTGTTATTTGTTTGATTTTTTTTTTTTTTCCCTTTCAACATTAGATTCCTGAAAGAGAATTCCTGCTACGGGTTTCTTACATGGAAATCTACAATGAAACAATTACTGATTTGCTTTGTGATAATAGGAAAAAGAAGCCTGTGGGAATTCGTGAGGATGTTAATGTAAGTGGATATTTTGTACACGTACTGTATCTTGCTTGGAGTAAAAGAAGTTGGGGAAAAAAAATGCTCTGAGAAGCATCCAGTGGGAAACTTCTGGGACAAACAGTGTGATTGTATCTTCAGCATTAGCAGAAGGACACTTGATGTAATTGAATAACAACAGTGACTTTGGGTTTGCTATTGCTAATTCATATTTATAAATCTTTATAAAAGTAGACTTATTCCTCAAGGTTTCCAGGATGACATGTTTTATTTAACTTTGACAGTAAAACCTCAAGAATTGTTTAGTTAAGCTCTATATGTTTCAAGTTTCTGACAGATATACAGAGTTACTTTAATATCATCTTTGTATCATCTAGCAAGTGATGTGCTACTGTGATCATAGAATAACCATAAGCCTAGAACTATTCAGTAAGATGATCGATACAGGAAAAGAAATCTGTGTTTATACTATTTTCAGTTTCTTTACATTAAGTTTTGTAGGAAATAATAAAAATTGGTGGTTTGGGTTTTGGGGTGTTTTTTCCTTTTGGTTCCCCTTAAATGGTCATGGTTTTGGAACATAGGAAGAAGAGAAACTTACCAGTTGTATGACTTTGTCCATGTAAGAGTTACTGAGAAATATACTCCTAAATTCCCTTAGAAAGTGACAAGAAGGATATTTCACACAGCACTTCAGTTTCCTAAAAACTTTCTAAATCTGTTGTTTGATTCTTGTGCCCTTATGCCACAATTTTGGTCAAAGTCTAAACTTTACCCATCCCTTGTGTTTAGCATATAAAGACATTCAGCTGTTGAATAAATATCATAATAATTGCTGGTAATGTTAACTTTATGTGTTGAAGTGTATTTTGGAGTTCAGTAAAATGTATTACCGTGTTTATTCTGTAGAGGAATACGTATGTAGAAGATCTGATTGAAGAAGTAGTGGTTGCCCCAGAACAAGTTATGGAATGGATCAGGAAAGGAGAAAGTAAGTATTTGGACAATGTCAGCTGATAGCTTAAAAAAGTGTTGGTTAATCAGGTATGTGTTGAACCATGGGGTATCCCTTTGGGTTTATGTTCATAAACCAAAGCTTTTCAGAGAGTTTTAAAGTTGTGCTTTTTGTCTGTTTGTCAGATTATGAGCAGAAAATTCTAATATTGTTTTTTGACAGGAAATCGCCATTATGGAGAAACAAAAATGAGTGGACGCAGCAGCCGTTCTCACGCTATCTTCAGAATGGTAACAACTGTTTCACTACTGGGAGTGGTTTTATGTTTTCAAAGTAACAAAAACTTCATTGCACTTCATTGCATTTCTAGATCATTGAAAGCTCCTCCGGTCCCGGTCCTCCTGTCCCGCTCCTCCTGTCCCGCTCCTCCGGTCCCGCTCCTCCTGTGCCGCTCCTCCTGTGCCGCTCCTCCTGTGCCGCTCCTCCTGTGCCGCTCCTCCTGTGCCGCTCCTCCGGTCCCGGTCCTCCTGTCCCGGGCGGGCATGGCTGACGAGGGCTCCGTCACGGTGTGCGTGCGAGTGCGGCCGATCATCGCCAGGTGAGCCGCCGGGCTGGCGGGAGGCTCCCCCCGCTCCCCTGGGTGCCGCCGTGCCCGCCGCTGGGGCAGGGGGCGGGCGGAGGGAGCCGGGGGGAGGGGGGTCGCGGTAAGGGCCCGTTTTGGGAGCAGAGTCCTCCCCCAGTAAAGCTAACACGGTGTCTCTTGTAGCGAAAATGCCTCGGGAGATAAAGTGCCCGTGTACTGGAGAAGTGAGAATAATACTGTTTCCGACGTGAGCGGTACCAAAATATTTAGTTACGGTAAGAATGTGAAAGCAATTGCTTTACTTAGATGATTACGCGGAACTTTGCTAGCGTAGTCTTGAACGTGTCGACTGTGGTGAATGCCCTGAGCTTCTTGAAGTGTCCCCCAACCTTCCCAGCTTCCTAATTCCGAAGGGGTGTCATTGGGGCACGCAGGACTTCTGGTGCAGGCAGCACTGGGATGTGCTTCCTGATGGACCTTACTTTCTCTGTTCTGATTCATGCCGTAGTGGCTTTTTTTGATCTGAAATCCAAAGGAGGGCTAGTCCAGAGCATTTGGGGAGAAGGGTGTGGGAGAACACAGTCCCAAAAGTGACTAGTGTGAATGTTGGATCCTCATAACTAACTGGCTCCTTTTGAGTCTTTTCCAACTGATGGACTTGTTAATATGAATGTAGCCACTACAAATAGTTTTCCCAAAATACAGATTCAGTAAAAGCATGCACCAGTCTAGGAGTTTAACAATTAACCTGTCTTGTTAGGCTTACCTTCCTTGTGGATAAATTAGCCAAAATCTTTTAGCATTAAATGGGATGACTGTTTAACTCTGTTCTTAGTGGGTTTTTTTACGTGTCTATCATCTGTGCATTGTGTCTTTCTTGATTTTGTGTTTAATATTTATTTTCAAACTAAATTTTAAAAGCTTACATTAGTGGTGCTACAATAATATTTCTATTGGAATTAACCTGCAAATGATTGCACAAATTTACTGGGTTTGAAGTCAGCAACACTGAATGACAGCTTGTTTTGACTTGCAATAGAGTGGATTCACATGCTTTTTTTTGTTTGTTTTTGTTTTAAGATCGTGTGTTTCACTCAAGTGACAACACTCAGCAGTTGTATGATGGTGTAGCTGTTCCAATTATACAGTCAGCTGTGCGAGGCTATAATGGTAAGCTTTAAAACTGTGTTTAAGTAACTTTTGGAATTTATTTCAGAGATAGTTGGTAAAACTTAACCTTATTTCTAGGCACGATTTTTGCTTACGGACAGACTGCTTCAGGGAAGACTTACACAATGATGGGGAATGAAGATTCCGTGGGCATTATCCCTAAGGCAATTCAGCATGTGTTCAAAATTATTTGTGAGGTGAGCAATTCTATTAAATTGAAGTGATTGAAAAGACTACTATTATTTGTGATGGTTTCATAAAAATTAATTTTAGTATCAAGAGGCTTATGAAGGAAATTAACTTACATTGGACTAAATGCTGCAGTTACTTTGCCAGCCTGGCAAAGATGAGCCAGGCTCATGTTTTGTTTTTAAACAAACAGTTAATGGGACTCTATTAGTTAAAATCAAATCAGAACAAAACTGAGGAGGGTTCTGAGACATGAGGAGTCAAAGAATTAACTTTGAGTAGAGCCTTAACCTTCCAAATATGAAACAAATGAAAACAGGTACTCGCTTGTTAATGTGGTAGATAAGATAATGTGAAGCTTTATGTTTATTCTACTATTTAAAAAAGTCTAAAAAATTAACAGTTAGAGACTTTTTTTTTAGTGGGAAGAATATGATACTATATTTACTTATTTCAGGCTCACAAAAGAATTGCTAATTGCTCAATATTAATAAAAGTAAGGAGAAAGTGTACAATAAAACAGTGATTTCCAAAACATGATTTGCAGAGTGCTTGGTTACCAGTGAAATGAAATGGTCACTGCTCCTTTAAGGAGGTGTAGAGTACCCTTAGAGGGTTTATAGAAGTAACTAAAGGAAAGAAATTTTTTCTGGAGTCCATTGTGCAGCCTTTCTTCACCCCAACATTGTCTACCAAGGAGGCAGGGGAAGAAGCAGCAGCAGCAAAGTAAATCCAAGCAAACAGAGGGAGGACAAGGCATACAGAGAGAAAAGCACCTAAGCAGGAGGAAATTGGAAATGGAAATGGCATTTAAGTAGGAGAATTGTTGTCATGCTACTGTTATGCAGTTATCTTAATTTATAACCTCTTAGAAGTGGTATACCATTAATGCAGCTGGAAAGAGGTGGGATAGAAGAAAAATTATTCTGTATTGTTAGATGCTAATGCACAGCAGGGATGAAGGGAAAGAAATCTGTGGAACGATATCCAAACCTTTATCTCCAATTTAAGAATATTTGTGTTAAAAGATGTCCATCAGTTATTCTGTTATTTGTTTGATTTTTTTTTTTTCCCATTTCAACATTAGATTCCTGAAAGAGAATTCCTGCTACGGGTTTCTTACATGGAAATCTACAATGAAACAATTACTGATTTGCTTTGTGATAATAGGAAAAAGAAGCCTCTGGGAATTCGTGAGGATGTTAATGTAAGTGGATATTTTGTACACGTACTGTATCTTGCTTGGAGTAAAAGAAGTTGGGAAAAAAAATGCTCTGAGAAGCATCCAGTGGGAAACTTCTGGGACAAACAGTGTGATTGTATCTTCAGCATTAGCAGAAGGACACTTGATGTAATTGAATAACAACAGTGACTTTGGGTTTGCTATTGCTAATTCATATTTATAAATCTTTATAAAAGTAGACTTATTCCTCAAGGTTTCCAGGATGACATGTTTTATTTAACTTTGACAGTAAAACCTCAAGAATTGTTTAGTTAAGCTCTATATGTTTCAAGTTTCTGACAGATATACAGAGTTACTTTAATATCATCTTTGTATCATCTAGCAAGTGATGTGCTACTGTGATCATAGAATAACCATAAGCCTAGAACTATTCAGTAAGATGATCGATACAGGAAAAGAAATCTGTGTTTATACTATTTTCAGTTTCTTTACATTAAGTTTTGTAGGAAATAATAAAAATTGGTGGTTTGGGTTTTGGGGTGTTTTTTCCTTTTGGTTCCCCTTAAATGGTCATGGTTTTGGAACATAGGAAGAAGAGAAACTTACCAGTTGTATGACTTTGTCCATGTAAGAGTTACTGAGAAATATACTCCTAAATTCCCTTAGAAAGTGACAAGAAGGATATTTCACACAGCACTTCAGTTTCCTAAAAACTTTCTAAATCTGTTGTTTGATTCTTGTGCCCTTATGCCACAATTTTGGTCAAAGTCTAAACTTTACCCATCCCTTGTGTTTAGCATATAAAGACATTCAGCTGTTGAATAAATATCATAATAATTGCTGGTAATGTTAACTTTATGTGTTGAAGTGTATTTTGGAGTTCAGTAAAATGTATTACCGTGTTTATTCTGTAGAGGAATACGTATGTAGAAGATCTGATTGAAGAAGTAGTGGTTGCCCCAGAACAAGTTATGGAATGGATCAGGAAAGGAGAAAGTAAGTATTTGGACAATGTCAGCTGATAGCTTAAAAAAGTGTTGGTTAATCAGGTATGTGTTGAACCATGGGGTATCCCTTTGGGTTTATGTTCATAAACCAAAGCTTTTCAGTTAGTTTTAAAGTTGTGCTTTTTGTCTGTTTGTCAGATTATGAGCAGAAAATTCTAATATTGTTTTTTGACAGGAAATCGCCATTATGGAGAAACAAAAATGAATGAACACAGCAGCCGTTCTCACACTATCTTCAGAATGGTAACAACTGTTTCACTACTGGGAGTGGTTTTATGTTTTCAAAGTAACAAAAACTTCATTGCACTTCATTGCATTTCTAGATCATTGAAAGCAGAGAACGAAGTGACCCTGCAAATGCAAACTGTGATGGAGCAGTCATGGTTTCCCACTTGGTAAATGTCTATTTATACCTTCTTGGAGTACAGGTTAACTAGAGAATTTGCTGTTACTGCTTGTTTGAGAGACGAATGGTACTTCATAATGACTTACAAGAGTTCTTTGTTGTTAACTCTGACAGATGTTGCTTAAGTATAGAGGGAGACTCCTGTGGCATTATCTAGAGCAGATGTTCCCACCAGAGGGAGTTCTACATGAGAATTACTCATGCTGGATTGGGTAGTGTTATCACCTTCTAGGAGCATAAGGGACTATGTCAGAGTGCTCTTGCATTTTGTTAAATAAATCTTCCCTACAATTGTTTCTGACCACTGACAAGTCCAGTGAAATAACTTGTAAAATGGGTAACCTTAAGACTTATTTCCCTTATCCTCAAATTTAGTTCTTGTTAAAAGAATGTATGGCCTACATCTGCAATGGCCAAAAGATTCATTTTTTTTTCAGAAGTAATCCCACTTAGCATCTCGGGGGTGGATTACTGGTATGTGAAATACCATAAACTGGGGGGAGCACCACTGGACACCTCTAGGGAAATGTTAAGGTTACAGAAGCCTTTTCTACAGCCTTTTCTTGATTCTCAGAAAATGGTCTGAAACAGCTGCAGGAACGGAACCCATGTGAAAATATTTGAGCCTGCTAAAATCTGATGAGCACTCTTACTCAGAATTGGAAATAGCATTAAGTTAATCACATGGATTGTGGAAAGAGCTTTCTGTTTTGGCTTCATGTGAAAAAGCTCTGGGGTCTGAGTGTAAACACTGCTCATGCAGTATCTTGACAAACTAATACCTACTTTTTGTGCTTACCATAACTTAGGGTATCCACTCTTCCTGCACCTGCCTCTGCCCCATTTCGGTTCCAGCTGACTTTAGAATAACCACGAGTAACAGGGGTGAGGGGAGCAGGATTTTGGCCCTCTTGGTCTATTGCTGCTTGGTGGAGTTAGTAAAGGATTTCACTCCTCTGAAGCCAAAATTTAATTAAAGTGAGGGCTACATGCTTGTTATGGGATGCCGTAATGTTGTAGTTGGCTTTTAACCAGGTTCAGAAGTGAGGCTTTTCCTCTAATAGTTAATTTATTTTCCTTATTTTTGGATTCAAGGTGACCCCCATAGCAGGGAGAAATTATTAGGACTCCATTGGTATTGGAAGGCTAATTAATTACTTTATTATACTATGCTATGTTACACTATGTTATACTACCTCTAAATTGAAATTGCACAAGCACTCAACTCCACTGAACAGAATGTTGTGTCTGTCTCCTGACCGACAGCCTGGACATGCACTTGGGCCTGATAGGCCAAGGAAACCAAACACCATCACTTTGGGTAAACAATCTCAAGATTGCATTCTTCTTTAGCACAGCACAAGAGCAGCAAATGAGATAATAATTGTTTTGATCCCCTCTGAGGTTCCTCCCTGTGATTCCCAGAAAATATCCTTGGGAAGTTGTGCCTTGCTTTTCTCTGTCAAGAGAAATGCGGCCACACTTACCTCCACAATGATAGACAAGGAGAGACATACAGCCAGCTTAGGACAGGTTACTAGATCATCTCACCTAGGCTCTTTTCCATGAAAGTTTCCTACAGCTGGATTAGTAGTTAATTAGTAGTTAACACTTCTGTATTGAGAAACTGTTGTTTTTGTGACCGAGGGTAGAGGTTGTTGCACTGCGAGTTTGAAACACTATTTGGGGCGGAATAAGAGTTCATGTCAACTTACTCCATGCCCTTATGTACCTTTGAAAGCATTGTTGTGTGTACTAGCTATGCATTAATTCCAGTAATGATAGACCCTTTACTTTTTTATTTTTTAAGCTTAACTTTATCAGATTCTTAGCAGAGATTTAGAACTACAAGGACTTAAAGTAAATTGCCTCAGAAGTAACCTGTGAAATATTTAATGTGTTTTCAGAACTTGGTAGATCTGGCAGGCAGTGAAAGAGCGAGTCAAACAGGATCTGAAGGTGAGTGTCAAATGAGGCTCCACTGACAATAATTTCTGTTAATTAACCCCTATGAGAAAATATGATAGGAAATTATTTGATCCATGTGCTATTGTGTTATTTACTGTTTATAAATAAGGCCTTTTCCCCTTGGTAGGACAGGATCTCTTCAGGAAAATACTGTAAAGCTGTGAAGTGCAAACAATTAAGTAGTAATATGCCTTTTATAGACTTGCAGGCTCAGCAACAATCCTGCACTGAACTAATACAATGGAGATGGCTCTGTGAAAGATGCACCTGTAATAACAAAATCAAAAGAAGCTTTTTAGGGACTTGTGTGTCAAGGTGAAGAGGGAATAGATGGCTCACTCTTTAGTTCAGAGGAAGCTCAGCTGTTAACAGTGACAGCATGAAGCTGTACAAAAGTGCCTTCATCAGAAAAAAAGTGATCTGAGAGGGACACAAGTAATAGTGTCTTACAAAGAGTATATAACTTAAAAGTTGTATCTAAGATGGGTTTGTTATATGTGTAAATGTGGGCATTTGCAAAATCTAAACAGGAAGCAAAATTGTAGTTCTTATGGCCTCAGGTGCTTACTATGTAAAGGTTCTAAATGTTTATTTTTGGCTACTGTTTTATTTCAAAGCATTTTGGCTATCATAAAGGATTGGGTACTGCCTGCTGATGGGTCAGTAGTGCATTGTGGCACTTAAGGTTTAACTCTTGGTTAATAAATCCCTCTTGACTGAGCATAACATAACACAAAACTTGACAGGTTGAAAATGTATCTTAATATTGTTTTAAATTAAAAATAATAACAATAAAATGTGTGGTACCTAGGTGTTCGACTGAAAGAAGGCTGTAATATAAATCGGAGCTTGTTCATTCTGGGTCAAGTTATCAAAAAACTTTGTGATGACCCTTCTGGGTAAGCAACTGTTTGTACACCTGTTATAAGATAGCACTGCTAAACTAAGAAATTAAAATCCTTTCTTTATAATCTTATGTAGTAGCTGTTTGACATAACCTGTTACCTCTAGAAAAGGTATTTACCATGTTAATGCAGAAATCTGACATTTTTTGTTGTTGTTGCTTCTTTTTTATTAGCTTCATAAATTACAGAGACAGCAAGCTGACTCGAATTCTGAAGAACTCCCTTGGAGGAAATGCTAAAACAGTTATTATTTGTACAATTACTCCTGTTTCTTTTGATGAGACACTCAGCACTCTTCAGGTAAAGCTTCTCACCTCTTCTCCAGCACTAGTTATTGTAGACAGGTTTGAGGGGTGAAAATGTAATCTGCTGGATCTTTAATGACTTGGATCTTCTGAAGGGCTTCTGTAAACTCAGAATTTGAAACATTTTTTTGTACACACCATCTTTTCCCAATTATCTTGTGCTAGATTGTCCACCTAGAGCTTTTTGGAAGTTGGAACAAAGCTGTGCAGGCAGGAGATAACCACTCTTATCTCATTTGCCTTTTCCAAACCTAGTTAGAGAAGTCTTTGCTAGCACAAGGTGTTAGACACTACAGGAATTGAACTGTTAACAAACAGTATATATTCTTTAGGTAGGATTGTCTCCCTTTTTGATGATCTTTTGAGCTTTTATTAAAGAAAAGATAACTTGGGATACTCTTAGTTAAATGTTATGCTTCATGTTTTAGGTATTAATATCAAGAAAGGAAAACTTCACCTTTTGCAAGCTTAGAATACATTAAAAATAAGCTAGTTAAAATATTTGTGTCCTCCTATATGTTGCTCTTTATCTAATAAACTCTCCCTTTAATTCTGTTGGGAAATATGGGACGAAATAAGTAGTATTTTTACATATTTGTTCCTCAACTATTACCCATGAAAGACTGTTCTTCCAGTTTGCCAATACAGCCAAAGGAATGAAGAATACACCAAAAGTCAATGAAGTTCTTGATGATGATGCACTGCTGAAGAGATACCGCAAAGAAATTCTGGATTTGAAAAAGCAGCTGGAGGAAGTATGTAATAAACTCAAATAAATCAATCCTCAGTACTGATATCTATTTGGAGACCAGCTGTCTTAAACCAAAAGCAGTTAAATTTGGAGGGGTAGCTGAATTTTTTTAAGTGGTATTTGCCATTTTTATTGAGAGAATATAAATTGAGTAGGAGATGAATAGTCTAGAACAACTAATGATAGCATCTCTGTGTGCAGGCTAAGGTTGAATGAGACTAGTTAGTAGGTTAAGAAATAGAAATTTGTGATGCCTTATAGCGTACTTTAACTGATCCAAAAAAAATCATAACAAATCATACAAGTAATGACCAAAACAAACCATATAACTAATGAATCTAAGAAGCGATTGAATGTCTCTTAAAGATCCCAACTTCATATTATTTCCTCCCTTACTGATGGCTGACTTCAGTTTGAGTTGCAGGAAGCTGCAACTGCCTGAATACCACTGGCAAAATTTGGGTCATCTATAGGTGGAAGTTGCATTTAGAAAATGAACAATAGTAACTTCTCACCAAACAATGTGGTCTCTGGTGTTTTTCCTTCTCTAAAAATCTCTGGAGCGGTGGAAGAATCTTGCAAGTCCTGTTAGACCACATCTAATAAAACGTAAAGCGCAGGAAAATAACAATGATGAACTTACTGTTCTAGTGCATCAAATCAAAGAATGCACATTTTTTTTTGCAAATTATAAATATCATTAGAGAATTTTTAGAAAAATTATTTTTTCTTTTTAATGATAATGCATTTGCAACGTGAACTTGGGAGTATGTTTTGTGTCTTCTGTGATTACAGGTAGTGAGTTATGTTTGGGAGAATGCTCTTTTTATATGTAGAAAAATCTGGGACTGTATTGTTTCTGGGAGTTTTGACCACTTTTAAATACTAAGTCTGCAGTCAAAATGTAGACTAAACTGTCAGTTTCCTTCTTAAGGATTAAAGATTTCTCTTCCAGACTTAAAGGAGTATATGTATGTAGTTATTTTTAAGTATCAGTAATTGTGTATCTTCTGTAGGAGTGGTTTCTGCTCTTAAAATGTCAGTGTGATTATTCTCTTGGAAGGTGTCTTCAAAAACTCAGATTCACGCAATGGAAAAGGATCAGCTGGCCCAGCTGTTGGAAGAAAAAAATTCCCTTCAAAAAGTACAGGAGGACAGGATACGAAACTTAACTGAGATGCTGGTGACTTCTGCTTCCTTTGCCTCAAAACAGAATGTTAAAGTAAGCACCTGTTCAGATCTTACCTGCTAACTCTGAAATATTTTGCAAAAGGTAACATTACATACATAGGTCTATATTGATAATGAAGAGCAAGTATGATGGGCAATTTTCACTCTTTTTTCATATTTTTAAAGGGCTAACTTATAAATTAACTGCTATCAATTCAATGTTGCCTTGTGGTGAACAGACTGCAAGGACTTTTTTGCTTTCCAACTAATTTTGGGGAAACTGCAAGCTACTGTCTAGTTAACTGGTGATACACGTACTGATACAGAACTAGCTTGAGGCAACATTTACTCTCTGCCTAGTGGTTTGGTGTTATCACTTTTTCTGTAAATACTTTTTTAAAGGCCAAGAGAAAAAGAAGAGTTACTTGGGCTCCTGGTAAAATAAACCAGGCAAATGTGAGCTTTTTTGAAGACTTTGAAAATGTAATGCCGACTGAAACAAAAAAAATGAAGTTGTCTCTGCCAGCAATACCAGATGTGGAGGATTGTAAGTAACTAGATGGTCTTTGAGGTCCTTTCCAACCCAGACCATTCTATTTCATTTTCTGTGAAATTCCAATAAATAACTTTGCAAGCACTGTATTACATTTCCCAAAGGGAATAAGTTGATCCTTTGATAGCACAAATTGAAAAACAAATTAACAAGACTCCAAGGGTTGATGTTCACATTTTTCAATGAAAAGTGCTTCTACTACCCCACCTTCCCTTGATATTGAGCTTTCAATTCTTTAAACCAAAGGGGAGAGCTGTAAGGTAAATGGCAGGTTCTATGAACACTTGCCATGCAGCCTACCCACACACCCTAGTTTTTTGGGAAAGTGTTCTTTAACACAGACTGTCCGTATCAACCCACATTATTTCACCAAAAAATGCAGAGGTGTGTGTGTAAAATCCCCAAATCCTCAACAAGAATAGAAAGTCCTTACTCAAAGATAAGATTGAGATAGAAAAATTCAAGGATTCATAAGGAGTGAACTGAAAGTTGGAAAATAAATTTTCTAAGAAAATTGAACTGAAGACAAGAGAACAGTTTAGCAGTATTGTTGCTGAATTACATCTTACATCCTTATTACCTCTCCTGTCAAACATGTATTTGCTTGTAAGTGGATTGTTCTGGGCTTTTTTTTTTTCTGTATGGGGGTGGGTGCTTTTTTTCCTTTCGTCTTGCAGGTTACTGTTGAGTGATTCTTTCCTTGACACTCAAACTTCTCCTAGTCTGTACTTAAGCATATATTCTGCATTTGATTTAGGCTTCATAAACTTGTGATAAGATGGTCAACATAACTATAGGGATTGGACTTCAGTGGTGTTCCCTTTCATAACAGAAAATCATGAGAGTCAGAAGTCTTACTCAGTGTGCTGTGTTTTTGCCATCGAATGATTATTTCTAATGTGGTAAAATTATTTTATGAGAGAATATTTGATACTCACTTTAAAATCTATTGGTACTTTTGTTAATACACCTTTCTTTTCAGCTGCCTTAGAGAATTTTGGGTATGACAGCCATTGCCGGATGGTTCCTGATCAAATTTCAGAAGCAGAATGGGTTGCTGGTCCCAGCATGAATTGGGTAACATCATAATCTGTTTTGACTTTCTGATACTGCACATATGCATGACATGCTTCTCAGTAAGATCAGCCTTACTCTTCTGTAGAACACCAGTGTTCTGTGTCTGTAGAATTAAATTGAAACTGGTTAGAAAGTCTCTTGGACATCTCTGTGAAGCTGTGGTATGGTTCTGTGCTTCTGTGGGTTTGTGGCAAATGATCCAGTCAACTCTGGTCTTTAAACAGGATTAGCTGTGTGAAAAGACAAGCAACAAGGAATATAATACTCCACTTACTTGATCTTGTAGATCTGCTAACTGAGAGTGTTTCTTTTTCTAGATCCAGGAAGACTTTGAAGAATCTGTGCAACTCTGTGAAGCATTAGCACTAGAAAAGGTAGGTCTATTCTGAATTTTCTAGAAATAAGGCTGACATTGCAGCAACAGCTTCTAAAGTTTCTTGTGCTACTTCTTCAGGATATTGCTGTAAATGAGGTCAACGTCCTGCAAGCTAACTTTGATAACCTAGTGCTGGAAAATGGGCAGTTGAAATCAGAAATAAATGAACTGAAAGAGAAACTGAAGGAAAAAACAGAAATCGATGAATTTGAAGCACTGGAAAAGCAAACACAAAAAGATCATGAGGTAAGCTGCATTGAAATAGATGAATTCTCTATGTTTAAGTGCTTTCTGGAGTTTATTCAGTCCACATAGCATTGAACGTTGATTCACAAACAGTAACTTGAGGTCTTGAGACGGGGATGTATTGTTCCGTTTCTTTCCTGATTGCTTTTCTGGACATTACTTGTGCACATTAGTCTGTCTAATCTTCTGATCATGACACTAATGTTGAAGTTTTTTACATCCTTTTGCGTTTTTATTTCAGGTTGCAATTTAACAATGTCACTGCTTATTTGTATTGTGTCCCCTACAGTGATTTCTGGATCTTAAAGAAATTTGCTCTATGAAGTATTACCATTTAGCTTGTATTTAATATTCTTTTTAGAAGACCCTTTGTATGCTAGACTGAATGTGCTATCTCTCTTAGCTAATGTTTAATAAATCCTACATTAGTTTTCCCTGCAAAGTTTTTGGGTATCTAATAACAGATGTAATGTCTAAAGTAGCTTCCATTGCAAGAATTGCTTTTTTAATTATTTGCTTTCAGATGTCTGAAGACAGTCCATAAAATGTAAGTATTTATTGATACCCATGTAGTAGATTACTTAGAGCAATACTGAAAGGTCACATACTTCACCAAATAAATTAATTAAATATATCCGTTTATACAGGTAAACTACATAGGAATACTCATAGGATGGTGCTTGTTTTAAAGCTTTTAACTAATATTAAATTTGCAGATTGCATTTTCTTACCTTTGCTTGTGACTATACATGAGTACTTGTAGATGAGTGCTTATTGTAAAACTTTGCTAACAAAGACCAAGAGAAAGTAAAGGAAAAAGCTCCTATCTGGTCTTCTACTTATGATTTCTTTCAGACAATGTCACTGAATGTGTTCATGGCTTGTTTTACTTCCATTTTGGCACCTTCTCATTCCTGTCAGTGAATAGATTAAATCATAAATATCTGCGCTGTGTCATAAAAAGCTGCTTAACGTGACTGGAATTTGAAGTATCGTACCTGTACAATTTCTGCATTAATTGCTTTGATCACATTGCTCTTGCTTGTCAAACTATTGCAGATTAAATTGTACTTGAATCCTTCTTAGTTACTGGGGAGCTAAAACAGAGCTTTGCATCTCACATGTCCATTTTGAATGAATATGTAGCGTCTTGCTTTGTAGCAGTTTGAGTAAATGTGTGAGTATATTCTAATAAAAAAGAAAACACAAGATAGACCTGGCTTGTTTTCATGGTGTTGGCAACTAAAACTACTGGTGTGGGTGCTTTCTAACATCCTCTGCAATTTTGCTTTAATTTCCTCCACAGATTGAACTAATGCAGGAAATTACCAGCTTAAAGAATCTAATTTCAAATGCTGAAGTGTACAGTGAGGAACTTGAGGTGAGCCTATCAATGAATTCACAGGTAGTAAGACTTGTATGAAATGCGCTTGGTTTGTTTAGCTTGAAATACCATATCTGCTGAGGACAATAAGTGGGCATCATTGTGCTCAGGTTAATCTTATCAGCTATGAGGAGGATATGTCTAAGAACCATGAATGCTTTCTGTGTAGGTTTTGATAAATTCTGACCTGAAAAACCAAACTGAACACTCAAATCTTCTTTCCCCCTTTTTCCCCTCCAACTTTTAGGCAGAAATAAATTCCAAACTGGAACAGCTGAAAGAGAAAGAGAACAAAATAAAAATGTTACAGAATCGTGTGGAAGAACTACAAAAAGCAGAAGTGGAAAAAAAGGAGACATCTTTTGCACTGGTAAACTTGAGTTTTCTAATGGGTTGAGAGATTACTTTGTTTTTCTGAGCTGGATTAATTTAGGTATAGCTTTGGTATGATGAACATCTGCTTCCCTACAGGTCTTGGGAAATTTAGTTTTACAAAGTTTAAAATGTTAATTACTACAAATCATACAGCAGTACTCTGGGGAAGTCAAGCTATGAGAAATTCTGCTGTTTATCCCATCTCTCAAACAACTGCTACTCTTTCTCTTAAAGTAAACTTACTGAGTTTTCTAAGCCTGCATTTATATTTTAAACATATTAAAACGAACACATTTACTTTATTGTTTTTTGCTTCTTTGAGTGTTGTCTTTTTCAGGGAGATTGTGATAAACTAACTGAAGAAATTCAGCAGCTGAATAAGTCCCTCTTAGACAGTGAAGCCATAGCCTTGGATGCCAAAAAGGAATCTGCTTTTCTCAGAAGTGAAAATTTGGTTTGCAGATTGCATTTTCTTACCTTTGCTTGTGACTATACATGAGTACTTGTAGATGAGTGCTTATTGTAAAACTTTGCTAACAAAGACCAAGAGAAAGTAAAGGAAAAAGCTCCTATCTGGTCTTCTACTTATGATTTCTTTCAGACAATGTCACTGAATGTGTTCATGGCTTGTTTTACTTCCATTTTGGCACCTTCTCATTCCTGTCAGTGAATAGATTAAATCATAAATATCTGCGCTGTGTCATAAAAAGCTGCTTAACGTGACTGGAATTTGAAGTATCGTACCTGTACAATTTCTGCATTAATTGCTTTGATCACATTGCTCTTGCTTGTCAAACTATTGCAGATTAAATTGTACTTGAATCCTTCTTAGTTACTGGGGAGCTAAAACAGAGCTTTGCATCTCACATGTCCATTTTGAATGAATATGTAGCGTCTTGCTTTGTAGCAGTTTGAGTAAATGTGTGAGTATATTCTAATAAAAAAGAAAACACAAGATAGACCTGGCTTGTTTTCATGGTGTTGGCAACTAAAACTACTGGTGTGGGTGCTTTCTAACATCCTCTGCAATTTTGCTTTAATTTCCTCCACAGATTGAACTAATGCAGGAAATTACCAGCTTAAAGAATCTAATTTCAAATGCTGAAGTGTACAGTGAGGAACTTGAGGTGAGCCTATCAATGAATTCACAGGTAGTAAGACTTGTATGAAATGCGCTTGGTTTGTTTAGCTTGAAATACCATATCTGCTGAGGACAATAAGTGGGCATCATTGTGCTCAGGTTAATCTTATCAGCTATGAGGAGGATATGTCTAAGAACCATGAATGCTTTCTGTGTAGGTTTTGATAAATTCTGACCTGAAAAACCAAACTGAACACTCAAATCTTCTTTCCCCCTTTTTCCCCTCCAACTTTTAGGCAGAAATAAATTCCAAACTGGAACAGCTGAAAGAGAAAGAGAACAAAATAAAAATGTTACAGAATCGTGTGGAAGAACTACAAAAAGCAGAAGTGGAAAAAAAGGAGACATCTTTTGCACTGGTAAACTTGAGTTTTCTAATGGGTTGAGAGATTACTTTGTTTTTCTGAGCTGGATTAATTTAGGTATAGCTTTGGTATGATGAACATCTGCTTCCCTACAGGTCTTGGGAAATTTAGTTTTACAAAGTTTAAAATGTTAATTACTACAAATCATACAGCAGTACTCTGGGGAAGTCAAGCTATGAGAAATTCTGCTGTTTATCCCATCTCTCAAACAACTGCTACTCTTTCTCTTAAAGTAAACTTACTGAGTTTTCTAAGCCTGCATTTATATTTTAAACATATTAAAACGAACACATTTACTTTATTGTTTTTTGCTTCTTTGAGTGTTGTCTTTTTCAGGGAGATTGTGATAAACTAACTGAAGAAATTCAGCAGCTGAATAAGTCCCTCTTAGACAGTGAAGCCATAGCCTTGGATGCCAAAAAGGAATCTGCTTTTCTCAGAAGTGAAAATTTGGAGTTGAAGGAAAAGATGGCAAGTACTTGTTGAACTGCATTTATAGCTGCACCTAATGCTATAAAGGGCCTGTCTGCTTCCAGGCTTATGAAGAAGGCCAGCAGTGTGGTGGAACACTCATCATTAGCTTTCTCCAAATACTCTAAGTAATACTTTTATTATGCAATTTGTAGAAAATGGGTGTTCAGGAAAGAGATAAAACGAAAGTAAAGGCTTTTTCCATAGGAGTGGGTGTTTAGGTTTACCAGGAGGGAGAGAAAGAGATCAAAGAAGCAGTCTTTAGTGCATTATTAGGACATAAGACTTCAGACCTAATTTTATCAGAGAACAAAGGAGAATAAGAGATGTGGATTCAGAAGTGGGATGGAGCTTACTTTGAGCTTTCAAAGAATAAAGACAAAATAGTAGCAGCAGTTATGGCCCTGAACTCTAAGGCATGTTTTGTTAGAGGACTGACAGGAATGCATTTAAGTTGTGCCTTATTCTGCCATATTTATCAAGGTCAAAGCTGGTCAGAGTGACAGCAGAAAATGTACCAGATGCATTATTTAAGTGTCAAGTACATAGACTTTTACTCTGTGTGTGACTTGCATGTTGTATTGTTTTCCTGAAGAATGAACTCTTAAATAACCACAACCAAATGCAAAAGGATGTCCAGTTATATCAAAGCCAAATAGAAGCGGGAAAAGCCAGTTACCGAAAAATGCAAGCTGACTTGCAGAGAGAGCTGCAGTCTTTATTTCAAGAAAACACAAGACTAACTTCACTGATGGAGGGTAAAGTTCCAAAAGGTACTGTTCCAGCTGCCTTTTCCCTACTCCTTCTGTCCTCCTTTTTCCCTGTAATAGGGGAGGATAGCCAAGGCTTTGGCTCTTGTCTTCCTCCCTATATGGAGACTCTGGTCAGTATAAAGCAACCAGAGTATCTGGTATTCCTGGCATGGAGTAACTACTTGAGCACTTCCTTGAACATTCTGGAAAATTGCAGCTAGCAAAATATTTTGCATTTTGCACAGTCAAGTTAATGAAGATTGTTGGAGAGGACCTAAAAAAAACTGGATATCAACCTAAGCAGTGCTGACAGAATTCAGACCAAGAGCTTAGTCTTTTAATTGTTGGCAACAGTAAAATGTACTTTTTGGGAATTACAAAAATATGACATCCAGAATGTATTATAAATCTTCTGCTTAATTTACAATATGTTTTTTTTTCCTCTAGCATTTGTTAAATAGTTTAAACTTCATTTTCTAGATTTGCTTTCTCATGTGGAGCTGGAAAAAAAGGCAGCTGACTTAAAAGGAGAACTAGAAAATGCTTTGAAAGAGAATGCATTTCTACAGAAACAAGTAAATGAGCTATCAGAATTGCAATCTCTACCAAATACTGTTGAGATGCAAAAGAAAGAGGTAAAAAAAAAATCTAACCTTTTTTCTTGGTTTTGTATTGTACTTCACTGGTAATGTACTAATGAAGGCCTATTGGATATGAAGCTTTAAAGCCAATTTAAAGGCTTTTAAATAGGTCAGCCTGAGATTTTACAGTTAAGTTTGTTAAATTGTTGCTTCTCAGATATTTAATATTTGTACCTAGGAATAAGTTTGTTTAGATGAATATGTTTAGTCACTGACTACTATAATTACGTGTTGTTTTCTAGTCCAGCCCTTGCAAGTCTATTTGCTGTGGTCACCACTGACTACTGAATGTATAAATATAATGGGGTTTGATCCTGGGCACTACTTTAGAACTGACTTTTTTGTGTAACTGAGCAAAGAGAAAATCTCAAGATCTCTTAGCAGAAATCTGCTTGAGAAGTTAGAGATTTACCTTGCAAATTCCAGAAAAGTTGTTAGGAATCCTTATTTCCTGGCAGGTAAGGGGTTAGTAGACTAAGTATGCTGTAAATGTTTTAAAGGGTTTCTTTGCAAATACTTGCTAGCTTTCTTTGTTCTAAGAACCACTTGCTACTAAGTATGTGCAGTAAAAATTATTCAGGGCAAGTAATCTATGAACTCATTAATGCTTTGCAAAAAGTTCCTCCAAGGGTGTACTTCCACTAATTGACAAAATGTAATTAAATATTAACAACTTAATCTCTGTATTGATGCCTTAAGTTTTTAGCTTCCATATTTTTCAGATTCTGTACTGCATTAGTGCATAACTCTGAAGTCTAGATGAAATACTAGTTAGCTTTCTTCACATTTTGGTTGGACTGAACAGTGCTCCTGGGCCTGGGAACCAAGGTCACACCATTTGCCTCAGGCCCTGGAAAATATAAAAAAGTGAATCAGGAAGTTGGGGGGGGAGCAAACTGGGGGAATGTGACTTTTACCTGAAGCTATAGTTGGACAATTAACCTCTGATATGCAAAGAGACCAAACTTTTGTGTGTCTGAGAAAACATGTGACTGTTGTCCATCTTAGGTGTAGCCTCTGCCAGGCTTTTGCACTGCCCAAGGGGTATCCTTTGAAGGCCTTTAATAAATACCTACTTTATTCTCTAACTCTGTCTTGCCTCTGGTCTAGGTAGCCAGTCCAAGGGATCAGTATTATGAAGAAAGTATTGATAAATGTAAAAATTCAGTTTAGGAGTCCAGTCTTAGTTCAAACATAGGAAGTAGGAAGTATTGAAGAACATCTAAAGAGTTAGAAGAGATTTTGGAACTTGAGAATCCTTCTCTTTTAAAGGTTCTTTGCTAGACAGTTCCCTCCCAACAGAGCAAAACCCAATGTATTGTGTATGTTTGCCTGTGCTTCATTTCCTATATCTTCACATGTACCTGTTTATGATATAGTTCTGACAAATACTGATTTAGAAAGCACTATATATTAATATTGTTTTTCTGCTGGCAGATTCTTGAAAAATGTGAGGAGTTACACTTATTAAAATTGGAAAATGAAAAGCTGCTTTCTGAAGTAACTGATAATGAATTGAGACTTAAGCATATGTCTGAAGAAATTGAAAAATCAAAAGACAATCTCACAGATGTACAACTGAAATACACAAAGTCTGATGAGCAATATGTAGCACTTAAACAGCTCCATGAAGAAATAGAACAAAAATACAGAGCTGCATCAGAAACCAATGAACAAATGAAGCTCCAAATAGAATGCCTATCTAAAGAAGCACAAGAGTCTAAAACAATTTTGGATGAAATTAAATTAGAGGTCAGTGTCAGCTTGCTCCTTTTTATTTATGAGACTTGAAGAACAGTGTTGAGAGCTTTGTAACAAGCTGGCTCCGAGCTAAAGCTCACAGTGAGATTAATTTGACCAAGATAAGGGATGAAGGGAGTTGCTATCCCAATTAAACTGTATCCTTGGCCCACGGATGAAGTAATGCACAAACACAGGTGGTGGAGCAAATAGCCTGGGAAAGTGGAATAGTTATACTAAAAACAGCACGTAGTTAGCTGATAGCTAGTTAGCCAATGGTGAGCTGGGATTTTGCACTATGCATGAGCTAATTAAAAGGTGTATAATAATCGGTGATTCGGGAATAAAGACGAGACTTGTCGATCATCATATGGTGAGCAAGTCTTCCTTCTCCATCAGAACAGTTTTGATGTGTATGTTTTAGTAAGACTTTCTCTGCTAAGGAGCCATCACAAGAAGGTTCCATAAACAAATGCTTATTTATTGTGGGCAAGAGTATAAGCAGTGACTTACAGAGAAATTATGACCTTGCTAGCTAGCATCTTTCTTCCTTTCTAAGCTCATAAAAGAATCAGAGAATATTTACATGGAGATCTGCATTACAATGACAGTGTCTGTCCTTTTCCTTTGCAAGGGAGATTGTGATAAACTAACTGAAGAAATTCAGCAGCTGAATAAGTCCCTCTTAGACAGTGAAGCCATAGCCTTGGATGCCAAAAAGGAATCTGCTTTTCTCAGAAGTGAAAATTTGGAGTTGAAGGAAAAGATGGCAAGTACTTGTTGAACTGCATTTATAGCTGCACCTAATGCTATAAAGGGCCTGTCTGCTTCCAGGCTTATGAAGAAGGCCAGCAGTGTGGTGGAACACTCATCATTAGCTTTCTCCAAATACTCTAAGTAATACTTTTATTATGCAATTTGTAGAAAATGGGTGTTCAGGAAAGAGATAAAACGAAAGTAAAGGCTTTTTCCATAGGAGTGGGTGTTTAGGTTTACCAGGAGGGAGAGAAAGAGATCAAAGAAGCAGTCTTTAGTGCATTATTAGGACATAAGACTTCAGACTTAATTTTATCAGTACTAAAGCTCTCTAGCAAAACGAAAGAACTGGAAGAGAGAGAAGCAGAGCAAAATCAACTTCTTGAGCTAAGAGAAAATCTTGTTCAGACTCAGCAGAAGTTAAATGAACTGGAGCAATTAAAAGAGGAGGAAGAAAGGCTTAGTGAAGTGAGACCGGAGGCCAAAGATTTGGAGATCCAGGCAGTCTTGCAGCAGCTTACAGAATGTCGGGAAGAAATAAAAACTCTAACCCAGGAAAGAGATGACCTGAAACAAAAAGGGGAGTTTCTCCAAGCTGAGACTGAGCAACTCAGAGAGGATATAAAGGACACGGTTTCAATGGTAGGAGAATATAGGAGTAGGCGTTTGCATGGCTGTTTTTAATCAAGGAATGCTTACTAATATTACAAAATACATGTGTTTTCTTTGTGGATTTTCTCTCTTGTGTTCTAAAGAACATCGTGGCACAGGAAGATCTGAGAAATACACAAAACTCTCTGAAGGAATCCCAGAAAACTGTCAAGAAGTTGGAAAAAAGTATTTCTGAAAAAGAATCTCAGATTTTGAGTGTTGAAGAGGCACTAGGGAAAACCATTAAAGAACTCCAAATACGGGTAAAACCTTATGCAGTAATTAAAACAAGCCCACTTAATATGCTTGTAATCTATTCTGCATGTCCTTAAAAATTTTCTAGGCTCTTGATAGCAAGTGGGCAGGAAAAGAGTACTGCCTAATCCAAATCTTGACCAGCAGCTGCTGCTGTTTCTGTAGCTTCAAGATGTAATCTAGAGTCTAATAAACCTTTGCTTAACTTGTGTGCCCCATGGTTGTGGATTTGAGTGGTGGTATTGGATGGGAAATGGAAAAGGAGATGAGGGTTACTTAAGTGTAGAAATGAGGCTGATTTATATTTGAAATAGAAATGTCATGATTTGTAACAGTCCCAATGAGAAGTGTAACACATGATTGTGAATGGCATGTCAGATCCCAACGTATCACAGAAGCTGGTTATAAGCACTGTAGGAGAATGAATCAAACAAAATTTGGCATTTGATTTTTATACTGAATTGATGAAAATGCTGCCTTTTCATATTTTTTAACAGATCTCAGAAATGAGAGAAGAAATTAAAATCATCACAGCAGAGAGAGATCAGCTTGCTGAGGAAAAATTAGGAAGTAACAACTGTAGAGAAAGTGACCAGCTTCAGGTGCAAAAGGAACAAATCAATTTCCTTACTCAAGAGAACCGTTCATTGCAGGAGAAGCTGGACAGTTTACTTTTGAAAAGAGAGGAGTCTGGGGAAGGAACTTTGGTAATTATGCTGAAGCTGTAATGGGAAGCTTTCTTATTTAAACTTGCACTTAAGTGAAATAATTGCAAGACACACTGAAAGAAAAGGGTCGTAGTACTTGACTGCACCTCATTAAACTCCAAGTTTATTGTGGTTTACTTGAGATAGAGGCCACCAATATTGTTTATATAAATAAATATATATATATATGGACATCTACTGGAGAATGACTATAAATAGAATATTAATGTGATACAGGATAGTAATTATCTGTACTAATCTCCACAGGAATCTTCTATAATTAGGCAGATCAATATGAAAACTCCTTATCTGAAGTGGGTGGTTTGGCTCTTCTAGAGCATAGGTAGAACTGACTTTTTCCTGGCACTAAAAGGGACATTGCAAATCACACGTCTTGTAATTGGATATGCTGACTACACTTCTGTGTGTGTGCTTTTATAGCAGTACCTCCGATTGTTGTACATAATCAACCTGTCAAAGGCATCAGATTTTTCCTAAAGCTGCTTTCTGAATGTGTTTATTTCAGTCTCTTACAAAACAGCTACCACAGATTCAAGGACAATCCATGGAGCAAGAGTTATTTCTTCTGAGAGAAGAGCTGAGCCAGGCACTACAGAAATTGCATGAAATGGAGGAAGCAAAGGCCAGTGAATATCAAGGGGAATCTGAAAAAATGGAGAGAACAGATGTTATTCCAAAACCATATGACTGCCAGGAAGTCAGTGCCCAGACAGAAGGAGATGGTGATGATTTTAAAATGCAACTGGAAAATCTCCAGAAAGAGAGAGACCAGCTAAGAGAAACGCTACAGGAAATGATTAGCAAGGTAATAAAAGTAGTTCTCTTCCCCTAGGAGAAGCTCTAGTAGATTGGTCTTAGCTTTTGCAAGTGTTGTTCAGGTGTTAATGCACTTTAATTGTGTCCAAAGAACTCGGAGATGCAGGAGGAGTTGAGATGTACTTGTGAAGCTCTTGGACAACATCAGGAGCAGATTGTGGAGCTGACAGGAAGAATTGCAGAGAAAGAAAACCAGATCTTGAGGGCGCAAGAGGAATTGAAGGAAAAAACTGATGAACTGCAGCAGAAGGTCAGAAGCAGTTTTGTCAAGAAGATTGCAATTTCTGCTGGCTTTGGCAGCCGATGAATACTGCAGACTTTGCTTTGTAGAGCTCCAGTAGATGTAAAAAAGAAACCCTTTATTTATAACTAAATGTATCTTGGTGCTGAATGAATATTATTTAGAATGAAAAATGCAATGTGACTTCTGTGCATTTGCCCAGTTCTAAAATTTTATGTATTCTGACAATGTAATTCTGAAGATCGTTGAGCAACATTAGGAGAGCTTAGCTCATTATTTAATTTATTACACTATTAAGAAATTTGTTCTCTACTTTTTGTTTTCATGTCTGAAGCCAGTGTAGATGGTAGGCTTCATTTTAATGTATAGGAATTTCTCCTACATACTGTGGATAAAGCAACTGAGGAATTTTTATGGATTTAGAATGTCTTGCTTGTTTTTCCACATTTTACTTCTGCCTTCCACTGAGACAGTAGCACTGACATTTGATTGGCTTTTAAAGAGAATCATTATCTTTTTTGAAGTCCTATAGCAGGAAACCACTGGGGATGTTTTCCTTAAAACAATCCATTTATAACAACCCCTATCTACGGACAGTGCTTTGAATGGTGATCCAATAACACTCTTCAATCCAAACCTCATTGCTGGGACAAGAAAGTTTACGAACTTATAACATTACTGGTTGTTTTGTCTCCAGAGCATCAAATTATTTTTGCCCGTGCAAGAGGTGCTTATGAATACAAATACTGGTTTGGTTTTGGTCTTTCCAGCTTTCTGAAGTCACTGAGAACCTGACTCGTGTCTCAGCTGAGTACAGTGACCTCCTGGCAGAAAAGCAACAAACTGAAGGGGCAATGAGTGAGCAAGTGTGTCAGCAGCTTGAGAGAATCACTTCACTTAACAAGGAGAAGGAAGAGCTTCAGCAAATGGTAGAGACTTGTAAAGAAAGGGAAGAACACTTGTTGAAGGTTCAGAGGCAATCAGAGATATCGGCAGACAGCCTGACAAGCAAGGTGAGGACTTTTGGTGTTTAGTCACTATTTTGTATTCTAATGTTTTGTCACTGGTGTGCCAAACTCTTGCTCCATTGAAATTCTATTTAATTTTTAGTTCTTAGAGCATCATTTTTGTGGTTGGCAAAGAAACATGATCATGGACAAAGGATTTTTTCTGAGTTTCTTTACTGAAATGACCAAGTTTTTCTTCTACTTATCTCAGACTTGTAACCCATTGGATTGGTCCTTCTTTGGAATGAATGTGAATTTATCTGCTGAGGATATATTCAATACAGTAATCAGTAAACATACCTTCCAGCTTTTGAAAAGGCACTGTGTAGACAGTATGAACTTAACTGCGTTTTAAATCCTTGGTGATTTGCTCTCAAAGGCGCAAGGGGAATTAAAGGACAAAACTGATGAACTGCGGCCGAAGGTCAGAAGCAGTTTTGTCAAGAGAATTGCAGTTACTGCTGGGTTTCGCAGCCCATGCCTACTGAAAACTTGAGTTTGTAGGGCTCCAGTAGATGTACTGAAGAAACCCACTATTTACTCTTGATGCTGAATGACCAAATATTATTTAGATTCAACAACACACGTTAACCTCTCCTTTTTCTCAGGCTTAAATTTTATACATTCAATAATGTTATTTATCTATCTAATACTGAAGATCCTTGAGCAACTTTAGGAGAGCTTATCTTATTCTTTAATTCATTAGACTATTATAAATTTGTTTTCTATGTTTTGTTTTCATGTCTGAAGCTTGTGTGGATTTTAGGCTTCTTTCTAATGTATAGGAATGTCCCACATGGATACAGCAACCGAGGCATTTTTATGGATTTAGAATGTCTTGCTCTTTTTCCACATTTTACATTTGCCTTCCACTGAGACAGTAGCATGGACATTTGATTGGCTTTTAAGTAAATATTTGTCTTTTTTAGCTTAACTATATCAGTAAACCACTGGGGATGTTTTCCTTAAAACCATCCATTTACAATAACCCTATCTACAGACAGTGCTTTTGAATGGTGATCCAATAACACTCTTCAATCCAGACCACATTGATGGGACAAGGAAGTTTAGGAACTTGTAACTGGTTGTTTTGTCTCCAGAGCATCAAATTTCCCTGGGCAGCCTGTTCCAGTACTTGGCAGCCTTTTCAATTCAGAAATTTTCCCTAATAACCAGTCTCAACCTCCCTTAGTGCAACTTATGACATGTTACTGGAGAGAAGAGGCCACCCCCCAAGTAGAGTGGTATGGTCTTCCCGCAGTCTCCTTTTCTCCAGGCTAAAACACCCCCAACTCCCTCACCCACACCATAGGACTTGTGTCCAGACCCTTCCCTAGCTCCGTTGCCTTCCTCTGGACACAACCCAGCACCACAATGTTCTTTTTGTACTGAGGGGCCCAGAACTGAACACAGGATTTGAGGTGTGGCCTTGCTAGTGCCGATCCCTTTCCTAGTCCTGCTGGCCATACTATTCCTGACACAAGCCAGGATGCCCTTGGCCACTGGGGCACATGCTGGCTCATGTTCTGCCAGCTGATGACCAGCACCCCCAGGCCCTTTCCTGCTGGGAAGCTTTCCAGACACTATTCCCTCCAGCCTGGAGCACTGCATGAGGAGTGTTGCAACCTGGCAGTTCCTCTTGTTGAACCTCAAACAGAAGCTCTTTGCCACTTTGGTTTTGTAAAATCCCCCCAAATCCTCCCTTCCATTACTCCCTATCAAATAATAAATTGGAGTTAAATTAATTCGATTAAAGCACTTGTGCCCTCATACGAGGAATTCCTCAGACCTTTGGTTAGTTAGCTATCCTGAGTACATTTTGTTACAGATACAAGAGTAGCTAGTAACCTACTGAAAGCCAAAATAAACCAGGATTTAGCAACGTGTATTGTTGCATATAGGTCAAGCATTATAAAATAAGGGCCTTGTTACACTTGTAAAATCATGGCTCAGCCTGCTACTTCAGCTGAGTAAAAGGGAACCATGGGAGAGTGACCCAGCTGGAATAGGGTTAGAGAGACATGAGAGACGAGCTGTATGACTGCTGCATGTCCACATTGTGGTGGTTGGTTGACTTGGGCTTGTTGTGCCTTAAAACTACATAAACTGATAACCAGCTAACTGTTTAAAAAGGCCTGGGTTTTGCAATAAAAGGCTCTCCTTTGCACTGCCTGGGGCCTCTGTGTTGCTCTGCATCATCACATCTGGTGTCCAAATGACGAGAAATAAAATTCAATTAAATTAATTACATTGAAATAAAATTACAGTGAAAAAGTAAACTACAGCCAACAACAAAGCCCTGCAAACCCAAAATACCAAATTACAATGAAGAACTAAACTACAACTCAAAACAAACCCTTACAACCTTCAAACTGCAAAGAGCAGAGCTCAAACTCTACTACAACAACATAGAATCTTCTTTACTAACCACAACCCAACAGAAAACAAAATACTTACACATCTTAGAAAGTTAAATCATAATGAAGGAAGTTAACATCAGCTGATCCCTTTTAAGGGCACTTTCCCCTTCTGACTTCTGTAATAGATGGGACTTTGCCTCTTCCCAATGTTCTGTTGTTGTTACTGTGAGGTGAAGAGTTAAGAAAACTGGTGAATCTTGGTTCTTTCAACTAAGAACCAATGATGGAGGGAGTATGTCAGGGGAGTTTTATACTTTATTTAAAATGCATAACAGACATAATTAAACATGATTCTGGAGTTGCAGGTTACTGGGTCTTCAAGCCTGTAGCAGTACTGAGCCTGCTCACTGCTTGTTCACACCTTCTTTTCATGGCAGAGTGCTAGGACCCACTTCATGAGCCCTTTCCTTCAAAAAGGGAGAAGCAGATAGACCTGGGAGTCCATCCTGACAGAAGGCCAGCTGGCAAACTTGTAAACAGGCAGTAATTTTTTTTCCTGCTTGATTTATAAGTCTTGATGTGGCCAGACAATCTAAACCACAAAGACAATTTGAGCTTGTGAAATTATTTGCTGGAAATCTATGAAATTATCTGGGTTTGTGCCTGGATTAGTGTTTTTGTCATATCTCTGTGGCAAGTCAAAACTGAAGTCTTAATCATAATAATTTTTCATGTTATAAAGCTGGTACATACTGTAGGGGTTAGTCCTGGAGTCAGGTAATTTATTTTATGTTTCTGTTTATAGCTAATCACAGTTTTCCTTATGAATTAATTGATTTGTTTCACTTTCATTTAGGAGCTTCTTGAGAAATTCCCAAGTATGAGGGAGAGATATGAATGTCTGTCTACAGTGTCTCTTAAGCTGAGGAGTGAACTGAACAGTCAGAAAGCACTGATAGCTGCGATACTGCCTCAGCTCACACTGGAGCAGAGTAAACAAATCAAAACACTTCAAACTAAAAATGAGGCAATCAACAGTCGTCTCCAGAGGTTATTGACCAAATTGAAGGTACCAACTTAAAATGCTGAATATGTGGATGCTTCATATTGCTTGGTTTTGGGTATTTTTAAATAAGCTCTCAATAGTAACAGCTAGGATTTTATATACTTTAGCTTTGGGATTTGAGAATTCATACATTGGAGAAAATAAGTGGATAGTAATTGCTTTACAATCTTAGACAACTAGAACTACTTAGTTATGTAAATCAAACTTAGTTTTTAACTGTAGTTCAGCTGCTTTGCACAGAATTATTTCATTAATATTATTCCATTTTAATTGGAAAATGAAATTTCCCTTCTGTACTCTAAATCAAATAATAGATGACTAAGTATGCATTTCTCTATGGGGGAAAAAGACATGCAAGATGGCTTGGAGATGCATGCATGCTTGCTCTGAAAAGCTGCCCAGGTAGTTTGATTTTACAGCCTTGAAGATCTTCCCCAGTTTGGGATCAGTTTCTCCCCTGTACTAAAATTATTAGCAAAAAAATTAAGGGTAGTTGGGAAAGAATTCCTGTTAATGTATGCAGAAGTACAGTAACTGGCAGAGTTTTTTCTGTCTCTAAGGGCTGGGGTTTTTTTGGTTGGAGCATGGAAACATGCACAGGCCTGGAGAGAGAGGGTGAGGTTCTTGAGAATCAGTGATGTCTACAAATATCCATTAACTTGGAAGCTGAACTAATATTCCAAAGGGCCTCATACTTAACACAGCCATTTTACATTTAAGTTTTTCCACAGATGGCTTTTAACTTCCATGGTTAAAGATGTTTAATATTCAACTAGTGAGCTCTGCTAGAATAAAGTTTTAAATCGGCACGGTGATATTATTCTCATAGATCATCTGCACCTTTCACAACTCCAAGAGAAAATAAATATAACAAAGAAAACTTTACTTTGTTTTTCAAGGTTTAGATTTGTGGGAGTCTGTCTAGAGCCTTTTAGACTTCTTGGCTTTTTTGGGGGCTACAAAAAATAGCATACTGGAAAAGTGCTGTCTCAGCTAAAACCTTTACATGCCATTACCGTAATGCACCTGTGAAGCTGATTTTCTTAGTCATGTGTTAATTATCCTGGACATTTAGAGGCTCAGAGAGTAAATAGATTAAATTATAAAATACTGTATTTTAGCTGGATGTAGGGTACCATTTTAAAACAGGCTCACTGATGCATCCCATGTTTCTGCAACAGGTTCTGTTCAGCTGTGCTTGCACAAAGAGAAGAGAGTACCACACTACTGTTCACAGGTATGCAATGGAATTGCTTGAGGAAAAGAGAAAACAAGATCACCTACAATCCCAGATTCAATGTCTAAGGAAGATGAATTTGAAGCAGAATGAAGTATCATCGCAAGAGTTAAACAGCTGTGAAGGGCTGCAGAGTTTGCACTTGGATGCAGAGGTAATATTTGGGGGAAAAATAGACAATAAAAACTCATTCTAAGGCATGGGGTCATGTGGTGGGAATCTAATGGCAGAGGATTTATCAATTAAAACTTTTTTTAAGGGGGGGTGAAGGAATAGGTATGTTTTTTATGCTGCCAGGTCTAATAAGAGGATTTTGCTTCATAAAGCCGCTGAAAATAAAATTAATAGCTTAGAAACTAGTGGGAATGTTATTTACTTATTTGCCCTTTACAGTGCATACCATCCAATACCAAGATGACTTGTTCTAAAGCAATGGAATAAACTTTTGCTAATAAGCACTTTTCCCCCTTTCCACCTGCCCCACAAACGTAGACTGTCTTCTTGCTTTCCCAATAGGGTGTAATTTTAAGTCTAGCAAAACTCCTTTTATATGATAATTGGATGCTAAAACAGCCTTCCTGCTATACTGATAGCTGAGAGGACAGAAGGTATATTTAGACATGTGATAATCAGACCAGTACTTAAATTTTAATTCCTCTCTTTTTTTTTTTAAGAGCATTGTCAAAGATGTATCAGAAATGGAAAATGAACTTCTCTGCATAGAAGCAGAGTTAGAGCAGGAAGAAAGTGCTAGAAAAGAAACAATACAGTTCTGGGAAGCTTGTTCAGGAACTCACTGGGATGCAGAGGAGCTGAAAGAAGAACTAAAGAAAGATAATGAAAGACTCTTGCAAGTCTTTGAATTCTGGTCTCCTAAAGTAAAGGTAAAAGTCAATGTTATAGAATCGGAAATGTATTTTGTGTAAGCACTTTGCTATGGACTTTTTGATGGACAAAACACAAAAAGAGGTTCTTAAATGATCATTCATTTATTATCAGCACTCACTCATACTTTTACCTGTAAGACGTAGGAATACTTAAAAGATTTTTCAAGATTTTTTAAACTTGAAAACTTGTTTTCTAAAAGACTTTCTAGGTAATAAGTGGGAGTAGGGTTGTTTATTTGGGGTTTTATTAGTCTGAATTCTGGAAAATGTTGCTTTTCTTGCCAAACTTTATCAAAACTACTATAGCCATTTTTGAAACTCAGTTAAATTTCTACTCCTTTCTTTCTTATGCTTACTGCTTGCCTCTTGGAAACATGGACAGCATTTTTCAGGGTTTAGTGCATCATGAACACCATTTGACAAGACTTCAACTTTCTGATTAAATCTTAAGTTTAGCCTATTTTTAAAAGTTTCTTCTGTAGAGTCAATAGTCAGTCTTGACTTTTTTGGGATTTTGCAGTGTTGGCAAGTTTTTGAAAGAATTCCCTGACCCTAATATTATGTGGATAAAAGCTTTTAACAAACAAACAAAAATCTAGTCTACATTGTCATTTCCTGACAATTGTGAAACTTTTATTTATTTGGCATGTTAAACACATGGATTTCTAGAATAGTCCAATGGGTAGGTTTAATTTCCTTTAGTCAGTGAATATGTTCTAGTAAGAAAAATCTGTGAAAAATTATGGTTTTCTTCTTTTCAAGAAGTCTTCCCAATGTAGTTCCTTTTGTTTCTCTAATATTAGAGTTTGAGTTAGTGCATTGCAGGCTTACCAGTATTTCTGCATTATCATCTTCTCTTGTGCCCCTTCCTGCTTCCCTTTCTTCTGTAAATGAACGTGTTCTTTGAGTGATAATGATACTATTTCTGACAGCAAGCACTGTCAAATGGGGCACTGAAACAAGAATGTGAAAATAACACAGGCTAAGGTACTTCCTGTTTCTTCACTTGCCATATTTCTAGCAGATTAAAAAATTATTTAAAATTATTCTGTGTGATTTTCAGATACTCCTTGAACTTTGTTCAGAGCTGGATGCCAGAACTGCTGATTATAGTAAAAATGCTGATGTTGAATTAAAACAGAGAAAGGAGAAAAATGAAGAGTTGCTTCAGGATCTAAACACTCTAAAAGAAAAACTGACCCCTGGTGGCTCTGCCAGTCTAGCATTAGAAGAAGAAAATTACAGGCTTCATAATAAATTAAAGGCTGCAGAAGAAGATAAAAAGGTACCAATACTTGCTTCTAAGGACAACTTCTTTGATGTTTGCTTTCTAAGGGAGAGTACTCCAAACTGAACATAGGGATTGATGACAACTGTAAATCTGAGCCACCACAATACAAACAGAGTACACTTTTAGTAGCTCGTTTATTTCCAAAGTGGAATTTTGAGCTCTTGCCTGCAACATGATTATTTTAATGGCCTGATTTCTGTACACAAATAGATGTTCACTTCAGAAATTCATATGAAAGCTCTTATTTACTTTTGAAGTATTGACTTTAATAGGGCGATACTCTTGATGTTTCTTGTAAATTTATGGTATTCACTCTGTCAGACATGAAGATGGAGAAGAATTCTCTATTTAATCACAGGAATTGAGAACTCATTTTTTATGCCACAGTTATCCCTCTCCAAAGCACTTTTTCTTTTCTTAGACTTGAGTGTTCTAGACTATTAAAAGGTGACATGAAACAGTGACCTGGACATGAAGTGTTGCCATAGAGCCTGTAGTGTTGATTTCTTTTTTGTGTGTGGTTTGGTTTTTTGCTAGTTCTTGCTAAAAATATGACCACGTGCTGTTACTGTTACTATCTTTTGAAATAACTGCTCATAACTGGTTGATTAATATGTCTCAATAGGCTATGAAAGTAAAAATTCAGAAGTTAGAAAATGTAATAAATGAAGTAGGAGACAGTGTCAAAGAGAGAGATGAGAAGATAAGCAAGTTACAAGCACAGATGAGAATAAGAACAGAGACAAGTGAGCTCACCCAACTGCAAGCCAAACTGAATGAGATGGATAATTGCCTCAGGACTGCCTTAGCAGAGAAGCAGAGTCTTCAGGTATGAGCAAAATACTTCACTCTTCTCTTTCTCCTCCGATGGAAGACACAAAGCATGCTTGACAACAGTTGTAGGTGAAACTCAAGTCTCTGTAGTCAATGTATTTGTTCTGTATGGCATTCCTAGAGTAAATTCCACTTGCTTGTTGAATAGACAATTTCACATTCTACCAGTGCAACATTTAGAATCCAAATTATGATACTAGAAACTAAATGTGTCACTTGTATGTGATGAATTTCTGAAACACTTAAAACATTTTAAAACTTTTAAACTGAAGCATGAACTATTTACTCAGTGTGATATATATGCACACTACTTTAAAATTCCCAGATTTAGTCTGCACAGAAGTCAGCAAAACTTGCCAAAATATGGTTGCATGTAATACACAAGATTAGGATACCAACTGCTACTATAGTGCTAGTTGGTAAAGTGAGCCACCTTAGTGAAAAATAGCTTCCTGCACTTGATCTTGTCCTGCAAAATCTAGCAGATCATAGTAAAGATACAAGGTAAGCAACCCTTAATTTCATTGCTAAGTAAAAAGCCCTTATTTTTACTAAATATTTTATTTTCAGGCAAAATTAGATAAAGGTGCTGAGCTGTACAAAGAAGAAATTGACCATCTCAAAACACAATTGGTAAAAAGTGATCTGGAAAGAATGAAACAATCCAACTTCTTTGAAGTGAAGTAAGTTCATATTTTATTTTCTTACAATTTTCAACTACTTCAAACTTAGCTTCTACTTTGCTCTTTTCCCACGTAATAAGAAGTAAGCATTCAGCCTGAGCTGTTGTAAGTTTTTATGGTGATTTTAGAGAAAGTAAAATCTATACGCACCTTGGGTTGCTTACAAAACTTCTTCCCTATACACCCACCAAAATTTCTCAATCAACCGTGTTCAGCCATAAATTAAATAACTGTTCTCACAAAAGAAGGCAAGGGGAAAGCAATAACTGAAAGCACTTTCTACTTCACTAGAGAGAAGGGATACACCACAAATAATTAGTCTAACTTTTGGGTGCACGTTATCTAAAATCTGACTGACAACCAGGTTTATGTAGTTTTTCTTGTATAACATGGGTGTATCTTGTATTTGATAGCTCATTAGAATTCAACTGAAAGTGTAATAACTATTAAACTGAGATTTTCTGATTTTTTTCCCTCCCTTCCTGCTTCATATAGTCTTCGTAATTATAAAGCCACTGCAGAACACCAAGAACAACAGTTAAAAAAGCTAAAGGAAGAACTGAGAAGAGCACGCCAAGAGCAAGATGTTACTGGTATTTACCCAATGTGATATATTCAAGATAAATAGAAGGGACTCTTTCATGTTAAACACGGAGTTTTGAGGTTAAATGTTTGAAGACCAGATTGAGATGCAGGCTTTGTATTCAAAGGGTATGAGGAGAACTGGGTGCATGCATTGGAAGATGAGGTAGAAAGTAGATTATATTAGCTGCATATGAACTGCATTAGAATTACAGCAGCTCTTGTGTTTTTCTCCAGCCATGTTTGCCCTTGTGGAGGGATAAGCTGCAGTGATGGTAGCTCATGTTGCCACTTTCTCCTTGACATATGAATACCTAGTTCTAATCAAAGCTATGACATACCTGGAACAATAACTACTTTACCTCTAAATGGCCCAGTGAAGAATCTGTCATGTTTCTTAATATCTCCCTGGCAGTGTGAATACTGGGAGGTGTATTTTGTGTGGAAAAAAGAGTAACTGTTGTAATGCCTCTTGTAACTCAGTGAAGTTTCACATATAAGACCACAAGAAGGAATAGGCTAAAAAATGTATCGGTTTGGTTTTAAGCACTCTCCAAATAATGCACACACATAATGTATAAATCTGTTTTCTAGTGCTGAAAGAAGCAGATCCTCAGCAATCCCAAATACCCCTTACTTGTGGTGGCGGCAGTGGTATTGTGCAGAGCACACAAATACTTGTTCTAAAATCTGAACAAGCCAAGCTACAGAAAGAGAACTTGCAGCTGAAGAAGCAAAACGACCTTCTACTGAGGTAAGTGGACAGCTGACTAGCAGCATGTCAAATAATTTGTTGTATTTACATCATTAGAGTTGGTTTCTGGGAGACCTATTGGAGTGAGTAACCATTAATTTTAGATTTCACATCATAAACCTTTACTTAAAGCTAGTGTTTTATGGCTTATAAAGCCATCAAGGCGTCTTGAACTTTAAATTGCTTGCTTTCTTAAGAATCTTTTAAATTATGGAAGACACACTTGAATTGTATATTGGAAGGAATTTCAGCTTAAAAAAAATCCTCTGAAACCAAGATACACAGCTGTTGTACTGCCATGTCTGTCATACGTCATCTGAAAATACAGGAATTGTCTGTTCTCCAGGAATTTTTTCTTAAAGAAATTGCTTTAAACTCTTCTTAATTGTATGCTGGGGTTCTTTTCTTTGCAGTGATGTACTTCAACTGAAAGAGGAACTCAGGAAATGGAAAGAAAGAGCACTAAAATGGAGAGAACAATCCTCAAGAGAAACTACTCGAGAGACAATACCAAAGTCTCCTAAAAAGGCAGTGTCATATTTCTTTAAAGAGCAAATGCCTTCACCCTGCAAGGAAACTGTTTCTCAGGAAACAGTGACTCAGGACCTACCAAAACCTCTGCCTCTTATTTGTCCAACAAATTTCTTTGATAATTCCAACTGGGGTTTGCTAACAGGTATGTAACACGGTGGGAGAGTCCTATAAAATTTGAAGATGCAAAATGTAAGGGATGGCCTGAGATCTGAAACTTGCATGATGAGTTTTCTTGAATGGTTTGTCATATGACTGTTGAAAAGCTGACAGTCTGAGCTGTGAAGCTTCTGTATGCTCTACAGAATCAAAATACCAAAATGAATCCTTCACCTGCTGCAGAATATACAAACCCTTTTTCCTTTTCTTCAGTGGAAGTGTTGATGAGTGACTTTTAGAAGTGAGTCAGCAAAATATTGTTCTTAGATACCTGGTGCTCTAAAATGTTTTGGTTTTTAACTTTACATTGGTTAAGCACAGATTTCTGGTAAAATTATATAAAGTTAACTGCTGGTTAACTTTTTTAGGAAGTTTTTCAAGGTGGTAGACTTTAGCCTTTGATGTTGCATTTGCTACTCTGCCTGGCTGCAGCTGCAATAATAGCTGTTTTGATGAGAACTTCTATTCCTCAGCCTCACTTCAGATTTCTTATATCTGGCCTGCTGCCTTTTAGTGACCTTCTGCCCTCGTGCTTCTCACAGCTTTCAGAAGGCCCCAGCAAACATGTTGAAGACTAGCCAGTTTTTGAGGTATTAATAGCAGGCTTCCAGAAAAAACACAACTCATTATTGGCTTTGTGATGGCCAACTTGGTAACAGCACAGCTTTCCTCACAACACACAGCTCCTAAGAGGAAAGCTTTCATAGCTGATGTACAAAACACTAATAAAGATTAAATCACTGTATTCCTGCTGCTTGTCTGAGAAAGGCTTTCATGTTCTTGTCTTCTGTACAGATACGCGACCTGCGGGCACAGAGTCCACAGAAGAACATCTTAAGCACTTGTGTGGGACTTCAGACAGAGATAAAGCCCCTGATTGCAGCACCCAGTAAAGATGCTCTGTTGTTAGCTGCCCTTACAGTGCCTACAGCCAAGATCTGCATATACAAAAGAAAATTGCTTCAGGTTAAAAACCATCAGCCTCTTCCATCTTTGCTGTCTTGGAGTTTCTATTTCTCACACCTGGGAAAGCTGGAATATGAGGACAAAGATGGAAAACCAGATGTCCCACAACCTGCTAATCTGCTGATGTTCTGCTTTGGTGTTTTGATGTGGACTTTTTTTGATGGCAAAGAGAGGCTAATGTACTGAAGAAAAAATGGAAACAAGGAATGGATGACAAACTAATTACTGTGAAACTTCTCAATCTCCAACTTTTCATTCTATCATTCCTAGAACAGCCCTTTTCTGGGATGTTGATATTTCTGTCTTCAAAGTGCTGTTGACTTGGCAAGAAATATTTTTTTTGTTTGTTAGCATGTGGTTTTCATACCATACTTCCATTAGGCCAATAGAAACTGCACTTTCATCACAATCTTGACTTCTTTGGACACTGTAACCGAAGTTACTGATCTTCTGTTTGTAGAGCACACAATCAAGGGTTCCTCTTAAACTCCTTAAAAGTTTCTGCAGCTCAGCCAATTGTGGTACCGTGAGTAACTTTGAATTTTGCATCATTTTTCAACACACCTGTCTGAAGTTGTGTATTGGATTCTTTTAAAATAGTAAACAATGGACTTCACACTCTTCTGCTTCTCTAGTGAAGGGAAAACAAACCAGATCATTGTGGCAAGATGGACTCTTTAATTAACCTACTTATCTGTGTTGTGAGACCTACATTTTGTATGTTTTATATAAGAAATTTGAACTTGACAATAAAGTTTGTGTTAAATATATAAAAATAGTTTTGCTGTTCACTTGTGCTATGATCCAAGGATGCTGACTGCAACATTCAGTGTCCAAATGTTACCAAATTACTGTCTTTTATACTGATTTCATCACATCCATCATTATTATTCTTCTTGTCTCTGTCCTCTAAAACCATCTGCAGCAATTACTTGTGCAGAAGTTTACTGTTGTCAGAGTTTTATTTAATTTGAGTCTATCAGAAAATGGTTGAAGTCTAAAACATAGATCCTCCTCCCTTTCCTCCCCTCCGTGCCTTTCACTTGCAACTAAAGAGGAATTGATCCTGTGATCAACTCCATTAAGAATGAAATCATCATCATGAGATGAGAAAGTCATTCCTAAGGAAGATACCTGCATCAAAAGCATCATCTTTATTTCATAGGAATAAATCTCTGTGATGCCAGGTGCTGTTTGGGTCACCCAAACTGACAAGCAAATGGCTACACTGACATATTCCTGAGCATTCAGCAGTTACTGGAACTGGGGAGTCACACAAGGATATTATATACCTGATGGAAGTACTTCTTTAGTCAAGAGCCAACCTTCTATTTACTTTGAATGGCTGAAAACTGCCAACCACTGTACCTACTAACAAGTTGCAAGGATTTATCTCAATCTCTGGCCTGGAATGTGTTTTGGGAAGTTTTTACAGGCATGATGAGCCTTTAAAAAGATACAAGTTCTAAATACTGTTACAGAGTTGGGTGCTGCAATGTCTCTTTTCTGACCACAGCCGCAGGTATTTCTTTTCTGTCAGGGATAAATGCAAAGTGCTGGTGGATCTGTGGTGGTTTCTTTCTTTTTCTTTTTCTTTTTGTTTTGGGTTGTTTTTTTTTAATTGGTTTGTTATTTTATTTCCCACTATGATGAACGAGGTTTCCTTTGGCCACCAGCATTTTGGTGTTCTAATAAATCAATCAGACTCTTTTTTTTCTTCTTCCAGAATCACAAAGAAGATGTATATATAGATCTACATCTTCTATATACAATTTCCATTGGTTTTTTTGTTAATTATTACTTGCTTGGAACAACTAGGTTTGGTGATTTTTCTGGTGACTAAACTAAAAAAAGCAGAAACTTATTGCAACAGGTGGCTGAATTCGGGTGGCAAAAGCTTAGGGGCAGAAGGATAAATGCTTTTAGCAAATTAAGTCATTACAGGTGTGTTTACTGGGGAGCTGATTTAGAAAGCCTTAAAAGCTATCATAGTTTAGCAGAAAGGCAGGATAAACTGAACTTTTGTGTATGTGTGCCCCAGTTTATCCACAGAAGTGGCTTTTCTGAGAACTAACTGATGTTTAGGCAGGACACCAAATTCCTTAATAATACTACCAGGCAGCCTTAAGCCTAGTGTGAGCTTATAGGTAAATTAGTTTGTCCTAGAATTTTTCAGTCTTATGATATTAATTCTGCTTTAACATATGCAGGTTAAACCACTAGAAACAAAAGACACGTTGGTAAATATACAGTTTTAACAACAATAAAAAATAGTCACATAAGTTTTGTCCTGATTTGGAATTTGATAGTTTATATTACTTGGAAAAACAGGTTTGTGGCCTTCTGGTGGGAATCCTACTGATGTCTTGAATTCCCCTTGTAAGAGAGTCAGCTAATACTGGTGATACTTTTGTGTCCTTTCGTGTGCAGGAGAAAAATTGCACTTTTTTAAAATCTTGAGTTTCACTAGGTGGCAGCATCTCAATGTTTCAACAGGAAATTACGTTTGTGTAGAGAAACTTAGCAGTTGGACTACACAGTTGGACTACAAATCCCAACAAGCACAGGGAAAAAAACACAACTGTAGAGCTTCCTTTTGTACAAGGGTCGGTAAATACAACAAAGCTGCTTGAGATCTCTTGGTGAGTGACTGTATTATTATTTATTTCTAAATGCTTCATAGAAGCAGTATGGCAAATGTTCATAAAACCCAATTTTTTTGATTGAAAAATGTATTTATAATGCGTTTTGCTTCCCACGTGTTAAGGCAATTTGGGGAAGTACTTGAACTGATCTAGGTGGCTTTTGGAAAGAAAAGAATTTTTCCATTACATTGCTTCAGAAGTCTAATTTGTTGAATCTGTAACCTTCATGAAAACGGTTTCGCTGCAACTTTTGTCAAGAAAAACATCTAACAAAATTATTTCTGATCAAAATAAGAGAAAAGAATATTTGATTCAAGAAGTAGGGCACTAAATTTGACTCAGTAATCTGAATCGCAACATGGATTTGAGCATCTCTAGAGAACAGCACTGGCTGCTGACACAGGGAAGATTATGGCACCTTTATTTTAACTTCCCAGTGAAGTGGTGTGTTGGATTTATGTGTATATTTAAATACTTTGTTCTTATGACACATTTCTACACCCATATATACACAGACAAAGTTGCTTGGAGGATTATGAGAATGCAGGAGTTCTGCTTACGGGGAACCTAATTAACCCCAGATACTGTGCTGTGACTGGAACACAGGGACCTCACTTTTTAGGAAGTTCTTTGAGACTTGGTAATTGTTTTCACTTGTTTGCCTGCATTTTTGCATGCTGTATTTTGTTAAACCTAACACAGCACTTGAACAGGGCTGTATTCTGCCTTTTGGCTGCTCCATCCAGACTAAGGTGGCAGCTCCTAGAGGTTCCCTACTGCCCCAAAAACACTCAGTGTTCCCTGACAACAGGGAACAAGAGGCAAGACTGGGGGCTTCATTGCCCCACACTTTCCTGCTTTACTGGGGCTGGGAGCCTGCTGTGCTGGAAAATTCCTAAGACAACTGAGGGCAGATACCAAAGCCAGGGCATTGTGTGGAATGTATTGCAGTCTAGGACATGAAAAGGTTTGTAGAGAAACAGAAGACAGACCTGCTTTCTGAGAATAGCATTGACAGTGGGAACACTAGATTAAGAATTATTGTACTGCTGTTTCATCCTGGCCTTTTTTTTTTCACATTTAGAGAAAAAATAAAATCCAATTTCTGTTATAATAAAGCTTAACTTCTGAGCTCAAATGCCTTTTGACTTCTTGAGATCCTTTACGTACAACTAAAAAAAAAAAAAAGATGGGGCAGCCCTGCCTCTCAGAACCCTGGAAAACTGAGAGTCACATGGCAGGCAAACAGGACAATTGTGATGGCAGAGGTACAGCCTGGATCGTGTCTAGTTTTGGGAATGTATTTGCATCTGATTGCTGGGGGGGTGCTGGCTTATCTCTGTTAATGTCTGTGCCATCCGTGCCTGTGCAGGTCAGCACCATGGGGCGGCTGGACGGGAAGATCATCCTGGTGTCTGCGGCAGCACAGGGCATTGGCCGAGCAGCTGCCATCGTAAGTTGGAAAATGTTTGTTCTGCTGGGCCTGTGCAACGTCTCTCGTTCTAGCTTGTCCAGTGACATCTGCACCAAACCAGTTCTTGAATTTATAAACCACAGATGAGGCCAGGACTACACAGTGAAAAAATCAGGGAATAATGTAGCCACTATGCTGTATCATGCAGGCTTTGTGCTTTTTAATTTTATGAAAATCTTCAACTCTGAGTGGAGATGTTAGACAAGGATAAGAACAAGATTTAAGGACAGCTGCATCTGCTTTTCTAACAGTATATGGCTGGTACTGCCTGTACCTTTTTTCCAACAGCTCTGTTGCTTTGTTCTGGGAGTAAATAGAGATGACAAAGGGAATATTTCCTGGTCTAAGGCTAGATACTGTGAGGATCTCCTACAGCAAATCCAAGGTATTTTACCTAGATTCATGACTGAATAACCATGTTCACATGATAGTAACACATTGTTTACAATGAGCAGCTGTAAGAAGCCCTCTACAAGTTTTATTTGATTACCAATAAACAGAATTCAAGGTACGTATTAACTTTCCAGTTAGCTCATAACTCCTTTTGACCAGTTCTTCTCCTGCTACTTCCCTTTTCCATGGCAAATAAAAAACCCAGTAGAGTTATCTTGTTATCTCTGTAATGTAATTACCAGCTCAGGAAAAGCTCCTCTGGCATTTTTGCCAGACTGGTTAGTTTCTCATGTGTGTGGTTGAGAACATAGAAGGCTGCTGATCTTGGCTCTTACAGGAATCACTCACTCCAAGGAGCAGGTAATCCTCCTGATGGTTTCACTTTGTAATACCCAACCAGCCATGGAATCCTGGTATGTTTCATGTCACTATCCTCTTAAGCTGCACTTGGGACACCTATTTTGAAGATAATGGGCTAAGTCCAAGATGTCAGAACACTTTTGACAGACTTTGTCAGATGTTGATTTATCAGTAATCACAATAAAAAGAAAGAGGCGCTTTTGAGGAGACCATCAAGAAGGAAGCAATGTCTCTGGTTAAATATCAAAAGTCATGCTGCTTTTAATATTTTTCTATTCCAATTACTTGGATACAAAGGATTTTGTTAAAAAGATCCTTGTTTACAAGTTCTGCCTTTACCTGTCAAATTTTGTAACTTTAAATCTAGCAATAGATTTAAATTAGATTTAAATGAGTTAGATTTAAATCTTAACAATACAGACAATTCTAGCCCTATTGCTTACTAGTGCAGCTAATAAGGGCAATAATAATATACATTATCTTAGTTATCTTAGTCTGGTTACTGTTCTTACACTTTATTTATGGATTCCTTCCTTTAGAGAAAACACCTTAAATCTGTCTTATCACACAAAGTTACGTAGTTGTGTGCAACTCCCTGATATGCCCAGAATGAAAACTGAGAGATCAGCCACCTTCAGCTTGGCTTGGCTTCTATTTCAAGCCAAAAAGCACTTGAAAAGAAAACAGGTTTTATTTCCAGTATGACCTGGAATATCTAAATATAAACTGCTTCTGTGTTCTCCAGGCTTTTGCTAAAGAAGGAGCCAAAGTCATTGCTACAGACATCAATGAGTCTAAACTGCAAGAACTGGGGAAATATCCAGGTAAATGGCCCTGCAGCAGGCATTAGTTCAGCTCTTACAAGTTTAGGCTGTCTGAGATACATTTTGAGGATAGGAAAGCTTGAAAAAGACAGGAAAAAAAGAAAATATCCAGACTTGTTCTTTCAATGTTTGCATTGCTTTATGCTGTGGTGTGAAAGAACAGAGATTTGGCATGTAAATTTTGCAACATCAGCATATCAGAGTATTATTCCAGACATGTGGAATAACTGATTTTCTTGTGTCACAGAAGTTGATGTTTGCCAGAATAGCACCCATTTCAGTCACCTTTTGGCTCCACTAGGCTGATTATCAAGTGCATCACTCTGGAAGACATGGAATGCTTTTTTTCTCTGATCAAGAGAACATCCCACTATACAAAAAGGTAGACCTAGTGTCTTGTGTTTCTATGGTCTATACTTGGCTTGTCCTTTTAATGCATTCCTTACTGTCCTGTAGAATCCATATGTCTTCAGAAATTCTAGCAACTCTAGATACACCTATTCTGTTGGTACAAATGTTCATGCCTGAAGGATGTTTTTGTACTGCCACCACAGGAACATGCTTCAAAGAGCAGGTTTTGCACAGGTGTGTTTCTAATCGCAAGTGGGATATTACGCTAAAAAGCATTTTTTCAATCTTGAAATAAAAATAAGACTTGGATATAGTTTATAGCTGACAATGCTTCTAACTTGATTTGAGAGAAGAAAGTGAATTTAAAGAATTCCTACTAAAGGCTGACAGTAAAATACACAAAACCACAGCTGGCACAGCTTTTAGCATGAATATCAGACTGCCAACTGGAGCTCACAACAAGCAATCCCTTTGTAATTGTTTGGGAGCTTGAGAGCTTTTCAGGTTCCTTCTGAGGGTATTTGGGAAAACATTACATTTTTTTTCTCTGCTAGTATGCTCACAAGGAAAGAAATAATTTACCATGTACTCAGAGCCATTTCCATGCTTTAGACATGTAATTAATCAATCTAGAATACATCAAGACTTGACACTTTGAGGTCTTTGAATTTTATCCAGGAGAGGTAATTCCAATGTGATGTTAATCACTAGCCTGTAGCCTGAGCGAATACACAAATCTCTTCTAAAGTGTCTCTATCATTTAACTAAGGCACAGAAAGCCTTTTCATGGGCTTGTTGCTTTGGTTTCAAAAAAACCCATGCTTTTTTTCATTTCAAATCAAATTCTCCTTTGACAACACTCGGATGCTTTACAGACAGTTTTACAGTGTTTCATGGAATCATATCTGCTTGGTTAGGCTTCAGGAAGCCATGTAGTTCCACCTAGTGCTCAAAGTGGCACTGGTTAGAGTAGGTTGCTCAGGGCTGTGTTTAATTAAGTTCTGAACATCTTGAAGGATGGAATTTCCTCTGCAAGACCCTGTTCCAGTGTGACTGCCCTCATGATTTTAATAGTTTATGCAAAATAATTTCTCCTTATTAATTAAATTATATAAAGCTCATTCATAATGTCATCAACTACATATGAGACTGTGGCATGTGATGGCACTGTAAGACACATGTAACTATTTCCAGGTGTTATTCTATGATAATGAGCATGAGATTCATTATGATTATATAGGTTCTGTAATTCTTCTGTGTAAGAGTATAGTGGAATTCAAATTCATTTGGAATGTTTTTATGGTAAATTAAGCTAGCTCATCTGCTTGCCATGCTGTATAACAATTAAAAGAGTTGATAATTTTAATTCTCTCCTGAAATTTTAAATAGCATGATATGCTGTCCCAGATTAACTGCGGCACTAACTTAATCATTGAGTGAATTGAACTGTAAGTGCTGTCCTCAGCACATCAGAAAATACTCAGCTAATCCTTAATCAAATACATTGAAACAAACACTCTCTTTTTTCCTAGGCATTCAAATACAGGTTCTGGATGTCACCAAAAAGGAGCAGATTGAAAATCTGGCCAAGGAGATTGAAAAGATTGACGTCCTGTGTAACGTTGCAGGGTAACAAAATTCTCTTTGCTACTACTATTTTTCCAGTTTTCCCTGTCCTCCAGGACTACTTTCTATGACTTCAATACATTTTATTTATGTTTTAATGGATTTTATACTCTTAATACAAACCTTCATGTGTTTTCATCGAAACTGACCTTTTTTTGCACAGCCACATAACCCAGGCCAAGATAGAACAGCTCTGGAACTTATGTTTTCCTCACTCTAGGGGTACCCTGTACTGATGCCTTTGGCCCTTCTAGCACAACAGTGAACAAAGCCTGACAGTCTGCTAGTGTTCTTTTTTTTTTTTTTTTTTTTGTTCTTCTCTTGCCATAATTTTTTTGCACATATTGAGTCTGCTCTGTGTCCTTGATACTTATCAGAAGAAATACACTGCTGCTTGCATTCTTCAAAGGAGCTCTTATTCCCCTCTTTTCAAGGTTGGAGAAGTTAATTGCTACAAAATAGTGGTGGGAAAAGAGCCACAGGAATGTAAACCAGCGACAGTAATCCACTTCTTGCACTCATTCTAGGTTTGTTCATCATGGAACCATTCTGGAGTGCGAGGAGCAAGACTGGGACTTCACGATGAACCTCAACGTTCGCAGCATGTACCTAATGATCAAGACATTTCTTCCAAAGGCAAGGCTTGGCTGCCCATGACGTTTAGTTTCTGCTGCATTGTTTAAAGTGTGAGAGATCAGAGCTGTTGCCACTGTGACAATATACAAAATACAAGTGTGCCACTTTGGATAAGGGGGCCCTTAGATTACAGTGATCCTACTGTAAAACATTCTCTGCATTGCATAATATTTCAAGTAGATAATTTATCTAAAGGATATGGCAGAGAAGATTTATTTGGGGAGTTGGCCTATGTAAACTAGCTAAAATACTTCAGACTTCATGCGGAGCAGTGATGGAGACATTGCAATACAGTGCTAATGTACTATATTAGAGCACACAGCTGCACAATACCACTGCTACAAAGTATTAATAAATCATGTGTATGAAAATGAATTTTATACAGCTCTGGAGACTATCTTGTAAAAAAATTCAAGGATGCTGATACTAACATGCTGACTAGAGCACAACAGCTCAATTAATGTAGCAGCTTGAAGATATTTCTTGGTTTTACATAATTGCTAAGTTTGGGTCTACAAAAATTTGTGGACTGAAAAAGGCGTTTGCATTCTTGTAAATGCAAAGGCTAGATTGAAAGCTGTGACCGTGACTGGATGACAACTACTCTTGTCAGTATTGTTCCAGTTCTTTTTGCTTGGTTGGTTTGGTTTTTAGTTTGTTTGGGGGTGGGTTTTTTCTTAGCTGAACTTAATTTTCCAAGTTTGGGGTTTTTTTAACAACTTCAGGCATATCAGATTTTAGGATGCTTAAAAAGGTTGTAACTTAAGGAAAATTATTTACAATTCATAGATGCTAGAGTATTGTGCTTTAGTCTTTTCCAAAATGAGAAGAGTTTCACTGTGATCAGTGAGTTGCTGCATTGGTAGATGGCATGGGCAGATGTCTGTGTGGTGTAACCTACTGTCGTGACAGAGGCCAATAGCTGAGAGGTAGCAACCCAAGAAAAAAATCCTTTCCTGGCGTAGTTTTCAATCCTGTCATGGCTCAGGGAATGAGGGAGAATTTCAGACTCTGCCTTACTGCTTCAGTCAATGGCACCTACCTGTGCCAATTGAGCTTTGTTGCCCTGTGTATCAAGTGCATGTAGGGCTGTTCTGTGAGCTGCTGTGGGCTGTTTTGCTGAACCTGCAGATGACAAAACAGTTTGCATTTGGGTGACATAAGTACTCTTTTGCAGATGCTTAAACAGAAATCTGGAAATATTATAAATATGTCTTCTGTGGCATCCAGCATCAAAGGTCAGTAGCTAGAGTTCCTTATGTAAATCTTTAAGGTGATGGATATATGACATAAATATTGTGCAACTTCGAACTCGGAGGACATTCTAAATTCAAAACTATTTCTAAATCCTGGGAAGGGATCAGTTAGGGGGAAAAAAAGTGAATGCATTCAACTCAAACATAAACTCAAGGACACAGATGGAAAATTGTAGAAACTCCAAAATCTTTACCTCTGAACTTTTTTAATGTTTTGTAGAATCCTTTTCACCACTGTTTACTAACTAAAAAAACATTACTACCAGTGATGTCTTAGTACATATATTCTTCAGAGATATGATGAAGAAATAACAATTACTTCAGTGCTGTAACTATGCTTTCAAAAGAAGCCTGCTCATGACTAACAGATGGATTTCTGCTTTTCCTAAATCTTTGCTTGTTACATTTTATAGAGTAGTCCCCAGACTTACACTATTGAACGATTGTGCTTTCCTCTGGTGTACACCTGAGTAGAATTCTGGCAGTTGGCATTCCAGCTAGCCTGCCCTTATGGAGAGGCTACAGCTGCTGCAGGAAATGCTGGAGCCCAGAAGCAGGTGCTTACTGAACCATCTTGGCTCTTTCTTTTTTTCCTTTTTAACTCTGTTTCTGTGCTGCCTTGACTGGGACCTTCTGTTAGGAGTTGTGAACAGGTGTGTCTACAGTACTTCAAAGGCAGCAGTTATTGGGCTAACAAAGGCTGTGGCTGCTGATTTCATTGAACAAGGCATCAGATGCAACTGCATATGTCCTGGTAAGTGTCCTTACATTACCCTATGATCTAGGAGCAGATACTAGAAGGCCAGATTCGGTCTGGCATTTTTAACAAAGAATAGACTTGCAAGTGGTAACTGAAGTTATCAGCAGTCTACAAGAACAGAGCATGCTTGAAAGGCTTAATACAGAAAAGTTGTTGTTCTGTGGTTAAACTGGATGTTTAGTCTGATTAACCTACTATCTGCACTTTACATATACATTATACAGTATTTGAATGGTTTTTTTCAAAGATGCAGTCTCAGAAGATAGAGGCAGGCAAGAGCTAGCTAACAGTCTGACCACTGTTTAACCATACAAGAAGTATTGAATCTAATTTTCACAACTCTTGCCTTCTACGGAAATTTAAAATTCTGTGCTCTATTGGTGGCTTTGCAGTGTTTCTCCTGAATTATATTAAAAAGTTACACATAGGTGCTAAGAAATACAAATAGAACAAATAAACTTTTGTTGTGATTGCTGATGCAGTTAATTTTTAACACTGAATTTAAAATTTTGCTTAGGAACTGTTGACACACCATCTTTACAGGAAAGAATCCAAGCCCGGCCTAACCCAGAACAGGTGAGAAAGCAATTTATTAGCTTGGTTATATGTTTAACTCTCTTTTAAAAAAAGAATATATAACTACACTTCTGCCCATATTCAAGAATGTCCTCAATTTCAGAGTACTGTGGATAACTTAACATTGCTCCTCATTTGAAAGTGTGGTCAGCTTTGAGACCAAAGCCTTATGGCCAGACCAGAACTGAAGCCTCAGAAGGATAATATTGCTTAGTGAATGCAGAGGTGCTCTTATCCACTTGGAAGCAACTCCAAGTGTTGGTTACAGTGTCCAGTGCAGAAGCAGAGGACATCTTCTATTGTGGCATGTGTCAGCCACAAGGTGGTGTAAAAACAGTACAGACAGAGCATTCTGGCCTATGCATTTCCAGATTATTTGGGATGCTTAACCATCCTTATTAGGTAATGGCAAGTTCTCATTTGAAGGACATGGGAATATCTACCACCAGAGGAAGAAGGATATTATGTTGGCTTCATTCTGAAACCAGAGATTTAGCTGCTTTCTAAAAGTCACGTAATTTTTTTCAACCCAAAATCCACATTCCTGTTGGTTTTATGTTTTTCCAGCTTTAATTCCCTACTTAGTGCACTATGACTAGAGGCCTGTTTCCAATATTGCTTTGTAGATGTCAATAGGTAAAAATAACTGGTTTTATATTTCTGATAAACCAAATGCTCTTGTATATCCAGGCACTGAAGGACTTTCTGGCCAGACAGAAGACTGGCAGGATGGCTACTGCAGAAGAAGTGGCCCATCTCTTTGTGTACTTGGCCTCTGATGAAGTAAGTTTTTTTAAAACAAAAAAAAGTGTATAAAAAGACAGCATATTTTTTAATTTAAAGAAAAATTGTTACCCTGTAATTAACAGCTGTAAAAAATTATTTGAAATCATTGTTTATTTTATGTAATTTCAGTCTGCCTATGTGACTGGTAATGAACTAATCATCGATGGAGGATGGAGCTTGTGATTGACTCTACCTGCAAATGGAAATTCATACTATGATGGGCAAAAAATTAAGATGGTGTTTCTTGCAAAGATTGAGATCATGCATGTGATGGCTTTCCAAACAAATTTGCTGCTCTCTCTAGATTGATCTTACTGATTAACTTTTCCTTAAATAGAGAAACACTGGAGTAAAACATACTTCATGTGGCTTCAATTTATGGCAACTCCAAAAACATGAAAGAACAGCAGTTTAATGTTTAAGATTTCAGGAGGCCAAAAATATTATTCATGTTACAAAATCTGAGTTGTGTTTTAAGCAAAATTTGAGTGAAAGCAATTAACTATTATCTTTATTCTCATCTTACCAGGTATTTGGAAATTAAATACTCACAATTAGATTTTCATGTACAGGAACAACTATACAAGGGCAGTATTCTAGCAGATATGGATGGGAGTATATGTGAGAGGAGTATTCTTAAACAAATGGGTGGATCTTCATGAATATGCTTTGCAGCACAAAAGCAAAAGGAATGGATTTTATCACTCTAGATAGAGCCAATATATTTGTCTCCAAAATGATGTACTAATATTGGACAAATTCTGTAAAATGTGTTGCTAGGTGCTGCACTTTGGTGCTCTGTGCCTTTGTCTCAAGTACCAATACAGCTCACACTACAGCACAAGGAAAATTTCTCTGAAAAGTACTGCTTCTGCAAGAATCAAGAATATGTGATGATGTTTTTTATTGTGATAGCACGTGGTTGCTTTGATTCATGAAATAGAAACCTATTATTGTCAAGTTTCATACTCTGGGAAAAAACACAGGTCCTGACCAGGGATCTAGGGCAATGAATAACCTGAATTCACAAAGCATTTGTTTTGCTAACATACTGCTTAAAACCAACATGAATTACATGGTCTGACTGCCTGTAAATATGGTTACCTTTAACATCGTTCCATTTATCTAATTCATAAATGAAACTCTATGTAATTTAATACATAACTTCATATACATTACATACATGTATATGTGAGGGAGGAATTAAGGACTAAATGCTCCCGAATATGATTTATCAGTAATCAAAGCACAGGAAAAATGTACAATATTGTGTGTGCTTCTATAAGAATAACTGCCATGTTTATAAAGTAATTGCCTTTCTATATCACCTAAAGCATTAATATAAATTGGTTGATTTCAAAGATAATGAAATTGATCTAGTTAAAGTCTGGCCTCTTATTTTAAAATAATTGTATGTAAATCTAAATTTTATAAGTTTTGTGGCTGTTGACTTCATTGGGCTCATTATGGGCTTAACGTTTACCTTTAATCATGGTTGGAGCATTCTGACCTTGTGTAGTTTGTTTATGGGGTTTTAGAGAATCTAATATTTCAATCAAGTGACCCTGGCAGCCAAGCAGGATCACGCTGGGGCGCAAATCCAAAGTTATCCAAAATTGCTCCAAAAATGTTCACTGATATAAATTCAAATATTAAAAATTGAGGCTGGTAGAACATTATTTCAATGGTTTCAGAGTTTAATATGATGGCCAAAGTCCTTATTTTATAGTAGATGCAGAAGGCTTACCTTGAAAAGAGAAATTTCCCCGCTGCAGTAACACAGGGAAGGTGTACTGTGTACTCTGAAAATACAATTAAGAATCTGAGAGAAAAATCATTATACTTATTGCACATTACCCATCATTACTTAACCTTTAACTCGCTTAGTAGAGCTGCTGCTCAAAAACAGCTGCTGCTGTTGTCAAAGCCCTTGTGCAAGAAAATAAGTACCACCTGCCTTTAAACTGCACTAAAGGCACAAAGGGCTTTTTTAAATGGTAGACCAAAAATCTGGTGGACAAGAAAAGTAAAAATCAGCACATTTTGCTGCCTCTTGCCTTATTAGCAGTGCTTTTCATGGAGGTGTTAGCAGCTGCAACTCTGAAATGTGTTCCAATGTCATGAGGTTTTTCAGCAGACTTGCAAGAATTATTAAAGGAAAATGCTTCTTAATGCTCTCGTGACCTAATTCCATGGTCTGTTTTTAATGGAACTGGGTAATTCTCTTTGTTTTTCTTCCACCCCAGTGATAATATAAAAGAGGCTTTTTGACTTTTCAGATTCTAGGTCAAAGTTTTCTCTTGTGGGGGAGAGAGGAATAGACTTCCCTGATTCCGAGTCCTTCTGGAAAATTTAATCTGATAAAAAAATTCTTTCATTTTCCCTTGGACTTGTAGTCAGTTTAGTTCTGTGTGATGACACCAGGAGCAAAGCACATGTGGCATTTGACTTTGCTTTCAAATGGATTCAGTGCAGCCTGCAAATTTAAGGTTGAGAAAAAGACAAGGTCTGCCTTGTTACCTCACGTGCACTTACAAATGAGATGGATAACTTGCTTTATCTTTAAGAAGGGATCTTTAACGCTGGGATGGGAACAACATAAATATGCAAATTGTGTTTGTTTTGGGGATTGGTTGGTTTGGTTGTAAAATGTCCTGTCACAGCTACTTTGCTGCTTCACAGTAGAGAGGGTATTTGTTTCAGGACAATTTACATTCTCTTTGAGCTGGATTATTACAAAAATTAAAACCAAAGTATGTTCTAACTGAGTTCATCCTGCAATACAAAAGGTATTCTGAATGTTGACAGTGATTGGAAGGCATTACGTGTTTGGTTGCCACAGCCTGGTGGTTTCATGTCACCTGAGCAAATTGACTGACCCCAGGCCCTCCTGAATGATGAACAAAATGAGCTTATCAGCTTTACCAAGCTTGCACCATGGCTAGATCATGCTTTAAGGAGGCAGAATTAGCAGAGCTGCTGGACATTTTAGCTAATGCTCAGGGGAATCTGCCAATCCAGCATAAGGAAAACAACAGACTCACTGTGGGTGTTACACACCAGACTCTTGAAGACCACTGCAAACAGCACCAACACTACTGAGCACACACCAACCTTATTTCAGCTGCTATACATTTACTGAGACTAAAAACTGGACTGGATTTGTCTGGACATGTCCAGCAGTCCTAATGTCCATGTCAAAGTACTTCAGTGGGTTTAGCTCAGTATTAATGTTACTATCTATCAGTAGTCTGTTTCTCAATTTCATCTTGGTTTTAGCATTTCCATAATGCTAATACTTTTTTCCAGTCTGCTCTTGGAGTTTTCAATGGTGTGTAAACAATTCCATTTTTTCAATGTATTCAGCATGTTTCAGCAGTGACATAGGGAAAGAATGTCAATAGCTCAGTTGCTTATCCCACTATCCATATAATCTAAGTTTTTAGTTAGGTCCCATTATAATAATTGGCTGACCTAGTCAGATTCTACTCAGCTGAACAGACCTAATAACATCACAGTGCAACGTATTTACTCCTGCAGGTAAGATATCTAAAGTCTAGCTTTTGTAAATTTGTACTCTCAGGATGCATTATCATCACCTGCCACAAACCAGATAAGGACAGCACTGTCAGATCTGTCATTCACTCCCCGAAACCTTTCCTGTTCAACAGAATATTCAATACCCCTGCTTAGTCCATCTTGTTCATACTGCTGTGAACAGCACTTTCAGTGGTGAGGTGGACTTGCCCTTCTCAGAAGTATGAATCAATTAACTCTTAGAAGTATTAATTAATTTTGTGTCAACAGCTGTGTGACTGATCTGGGATGTTGCCTGTGCAAAGCTGGATGGAGAACAATATCCTTCTGTCCTTTGCTTGCACACAAACCAAGTGCAAAATTAAGTACATAAATCCACCCTGGGAAAGTGGTCAGTGGAGGGAAAGAGAGAGGCATTGGGAAGTTGCTGATGCTTTCTATTCCAGTTCAGAGGATTGGCATTTGTGGATTCTCAGTCCCAATGAAAGGATGGAAAAAAATCAAATCAAAAGTATCACCAATGTCATAAAAAAACCCACAAAAACCTAAACCCACAACTATTTGGTTCTGCAAGTGCCAGCAGTCCTAATGTCCATGTCAAAGTACTTCAGTGGGTTTAGCTCAGTATTAATGTTACTATCTATCAGTAGTCTGTTTCTCAATTTCATCTTGGTTTTAGCATTTCCATAATGCTAATACTTTTTTCCAGTCTGCTCTTGGAGTTTTCAATGGTGTGTAAACAATTCCATTTTTTCAATGTATTCAGCATGTTTCAGCAGTGACATAGGGAAAGAATGTCAATAGCTCAGTTGCTTATCCCACTATCCATATAATCTAAGTTTTTAGTTAGGTCCCATTATAATAATTGGCTGACCTAGTCAGATTCTACTCAGCTGAACAGACCTAATAACATCACAGTGCAACGTATTTACTCCTGCAGGTAAGATATCTAAAGTCTAGCTTTTGTAAATTTGTACTCTCAGGATGCATTATCATCTTAATGTAATACTAATGCCTCTAGTAATACTGTTGCCACACTTCCTTGAGTTAAGTAAGAGGCTTCAATTTCTGTTTGTTTCTATTTAGATATTACATTACTTGCTTAGGAATTTTTTTAAAACAAAAAAAAGTGTATAAAAAGACAGCATATTTTTTAATTTAAAGAAAAATTGTTACCCTGTAATTAACAGCTGTAAAAAATTATTTGAAATCATTGTTTATTTTATGTAATTTCAGTCTGCCTATGTGACTGGTAATGAACTAATCATCGATGGAGGATGGAGCTTGTGATTGACTCTACCTGCAAATGGAAATTCATACTATGATGGGCAAAAAATTAAGATGGTGTTTCTTGCAAAGATTGAGATCATGCATGTGATGGCTTTCCAAACAAATTTGCTGCTCTCTCTAGATTGATCTTACTGATTAACTTTTCCTTAAATAGAGAAACACTGGAGTAAAACATACTTCATGTGGCTTCAATTTATGGCAACTCCAAAAACATGAAAGAACAGCAGTTTAATGTTTAAGATTTCAGGAGGCCAAAAATATTATTCATGTTACAAAATCTGAGTTGTGTTTTAAGCAAAATTTGAGTGAAAGCAATTAACTATTATCTTTATTCTCATCTTACCAGGTATTTGGAAATTAAATACTCACAATTAGATTTTCATGTACAGGAACAACTATACAAGGGCAGTATTCTAGCAGATATGGATGGGAGTATATGTGAGAGGAGTATTCTTAAACAAATGGGTGGATCTTCATGAATATGCTTTGCAGCACAAAAGCAAAAGGAATGGATTTTATCACTCTAGATAGAGCCAATATATTTGTCTCCAAAATGATGTACTAATATTGGACAAATTCTGTAAAATGTGTTGCTAGGTGCTGCACTTTGGTGCTCTGTGCCTTTGTCTCAAGTACCAATACAGCTCACACTACAGCACAAGGAAAATTTCTCTGAAAAGTACTGCTTCTGCAAGAATCAAGAATATGTGATGATGTTTTTTATTGTGATAGCACGTGGTTGCTTTGATTCATGAAATAGAAACCTATTATTGTCAAGTTTCATACTCTGGGAAAAAACACAGGTCCTGACCAGGGATCTAGGGCAATGAATAACCTGAATTCACAAAGCATTTGTTTTGCTAACATACTGCTTAAAACCAACATGAATTACATGGTCTGACTGCCTGTAAATATGGTTACCTTTAACATCGTTCCATTTATCTAATTCATAAATGAAACTCTATGTAATTTAATACATAATTAAAAATACAGAAAAGTACTGAACTTTGAGTAAATAACCACTTTAAATAGGAAAGGAGAAAAAAACAAAACTATTAACTTACAGCACACTGAAAGTGTTTGCCTATAGCTCTGTATTCTTCTGCTGTGCCTTGGTCATGCCTCTGGCCAGTTTCATATCAGAACAGCTCAAACAAAACCTCATAGGTGTTAGAATGGCCCTTGTCTTTATGGTATCAGCCCTTCCCAAATATCAAATATTTCATTTTAAACTCGAGGTTTGATAATTCTGAGAATCAGCTCTGACTTACTTCCAACCATCTAGCAAGGAAGGAATTTCTTGGCTCAGAAGTTCTGGCTTTACTTCTCTGGTGTTTTATATGCCCAGAGCAATGTAAAAGGCTTGAAAGAAATTTAGGTGATGGAGGATATATGCCAGCCTTTGCTGTGAGAGAGAACACTATCAAGCCTTGTCTCCAGATATATGCCTGCCCTCCTTGATAGCTCACACTTGTGAAACCACAATAAATATGTGCACCAAAAAATATCTGACATACAAAACAGTGCACTGCTGTATCTTGTTATAATCTATGGGACAAGTAGTAGACTGGTTAGAGTTGAGCAAATACAATGGTAACTATCCACAAATTACTTGGATCTTACTTCCCAGTCTGAGAAGTACCTCCATGGGATATAATCAGTAAAAAAAGAGCCATGTTTAATCAGGCTGCAAGCTGTGAAAAGTCCTGATCATTATTCAAACAGGCATCTTCACTTTCTTAGAAACACATTGACTGAGTATCTCTAGTAGCATCTAGAGAAAACACATTGTTGAAATTCCTCTGAAAATCAAACTGGATCAATCAGGCTTAAGTTAGGGGAAAAGTGTCCCCTCCTGATGTTTTAGAAACCTCCTAGAATTTTAGAAACTATAGTTGTTCTAATTTTATTGGATAGTCACTTGCACTGAAATGTACACAGGACCTGTGACACTTTCAGAACTAATGGTCCTGCTGAGTGGTGCTGACAGCAAATAACCTTTATTATGTGCTGAAAGGAGGCACAAATAGAGAAAGATTACAGCCATAGTTTTGAGAAGGAATGAAGAGGTTAGCACAGATAATTGTGATTGTAAAACTCAGGTTTTAATTTTTTTTGTGCTTGAATTTTTAAACTTTATACTGTTCTTCGGTTAGTTTCTGTCTCTTATTCTTGCATACAGAGGGACACAAAAAACATTAAACTTGAAATTGGGCTGAGAGGATTTTTCCACACGGTCTGTGGGAAAAGGCATCACTGAGAAGTCATTCATTTGGAAAACAGTGTTTATTTGCTTCTCTTTAACTTTTCCACCTTTATTTCTTTCTTTAGGTTTGCAGCAATGGTAAGGGAAGAT